AATTATGCCAGCCTGACAGCAATACTTGAAATATATTATAACTTTTCTTCTGAGGAGCTTGAAGTACTTTATCATTATATTTATATTTTCTTTTTTTCTCATTCAAATGTTTGGATTATCATAACTACCTATAGACAGCTTTCTCACCGATGTGTAACCATGCGCTTCCTGGAGGCTGGTTACGAACAGTGTGACACTGGCTTCTTTCATACACAGGTTGTGTTATGAGTCGGCGGTGGGCCCTCCTGAGTGTCAGGAAAGTTCTGGCTTCCCTACTCATTCAGATGAAATTCAATTCAATAAACATTTTTGGCCCCATCTTACCTGCCAGATTCTCTGCCATGTGCAGATCCAGGAAGGGACAGCATAGTCTGCTCATCATGTCACTGTTTCCTGTTCTAATCCCAAACTTCCCTTGGCCGGTCACAGTAACCACACAGCTGGCAGGCAGGATGAGGGAACGATCTGGGGGAGCCTGATATCTTTCAGTTCCATATGTGCTTTTTGGCCACAGTTTAAATTGAACATATTTCTTCCCTCTCCCTGTCTCACGGGGTGTGCACTATTTTTCAAAATCCACTTAGAACGGCAAAAGCAGGTCACTTGACTTGCCTTCCTTAAGCTCTGATTTCTGCATCTTGACTCTTAGGTCAGGTATGTGTTGATCTTGAAATGCTTCTCCTGGCATTCTTCTGTGCATCAGGAAGAGGCCCACAGTGACTCCAGACCGTCTCCCTCGTCCCCACTTCCCCTGTCACTCCCCATCCCTATTCTCAGCAGATGATTTTGCTTCCTGCCTTTCCAAGATTGGTATGCATATCTTATGGTCTCATACTTTATCTTTACTCACAGTGTCACTGCCAATACTGTTCTCTCTAATTTTTCCACCATAATCTTAGTGAAATGGGTTTCTTTCTTCAGGAAAACTAACCTCTCCATGCACATCTCAGATGCCATTCCTTTTTCCCTGTCAAAGTTATTCCTTCCCCGTCTGTGAATACCTCAGGCCTCATACTTCCCCTCCACTTCCTCAGTCTCTGAGCATAATTGGCTGGAGTCCCCTCTAAGGAAGAGAGTCCTTCAACTCTAAATATTCTCTCTTTCCTTGCCTATTGTGGCATTGCTTCTTTCTGGATCTCCTCCCATTTCTCTGACTATTCTTTTTCTATTCCCTCTACTGATTATGGCCTCAGCTGTTCACTCTTTCCACACTGTTCTCACTCATTCATCCATCACAGATCTCACTATGATGATCACTATGATATGATCTCACTTGTTCATTCACTCATAGAGGATCTAACATCTGCCAGTTACCAATGTAGGCGTAGGAGGACAGTAGCGAACAGAACAAAGAAGGCTGCTTTCATGGAGCCTACATCCTGATAGGAGAAAACAGAAAATAAGCAAGTATGTAAATTTAAAATAAGATAATTTTGGATCGTGAGAGAAGATATGAAGAACAAGAAACAGGGTAGTGAGATGGAGAGTAGCTCCAGGTTGGGGAACTGGACAGGAAACCAGTTTAGAAAGTGTGACCGCTTTCTAAAGTGCCACTCTAAGGAGAAGTCATTTGAGGCAAGACTGGAATGATACGAGACCAGCCATAAGATGAAGAGCATTCTAGGCAGAGGGAACATCTGGTGCAAAGGCTCTAGAATGGGAAAAAGCTTAGTAAGTTTGAGGCAAGTTTTTAAAAAATTAAGTGTAACTGGAATATTGTGGACAAGACAGGGAATGGTAGACATGCGTGTGAAGAGGTAGCCAGGGCTCAGGGCAGGCCTTGTTAGCCATAGTGAGGAGTATAGATTTTATTTAACTGCAATGAGATGCCATTGAAGGGCTTTAAGCAAGAAATGTGCATGATCTTACAGAGACAGAGTGCTCTGACTACTGTTTTTAGCCTAGAATGGATGGTTTCACCTATCAAATGTAAGGGGAAGATGATCATCAAATTGGAAAAGGTTAAAAAAAAAACAGCCAAAAAGAGTTGAAGCCAAAATGGCAAAAAGAAGGGAGGGATAACTTAAACAAGTTAAATGAGTTAAAAACTCTCAGAACAAGGCCAAATGTACTTTAGGGAATGCAAGGTACTTGCAAAAGTAATGAGAGCCACTGCCAAAAATCAAGAGAAATGTCAGAAGACTGAAAAGACCAAATGCTCCTGTTTTTAATAGAGGAGAGACAGAGGAAGTGGCTTATGCAAACTAGAGACAAGTACATTGTTCCTAAAACCTCACGTAAAATCCTCAAAGTGAATATTTAAAATGGGATTGATAAACATTTAGAAAACAACATTGTGATTATTAGGAATTAGCACACATAGACGTAAGAAAAAATCATGTAATATTAAGCCAATTCCTGCTGTGGTAGTGGCAGTGTTTGTAGCGATGGTAGTTGAGAGAGTTATCAGACTGAAAATATCTTGGTCACTCTATGTATTGGGGTGAGACTTTCAATAAAATCATTATCTCAAAGATAATTGGAACTTTATCAATAATCTATTCCAAATCTTTTTGTGTGTGTGTGTGTGAGGAAGATTAGCCCTGAGCTAAGATCCGTTGCCAATCCTCTTCTTTTTGCTGAGGAAGACTGGCCCTAGGCTAACATCCATGCCCATCCTCCTCTACTTTATATGGGACGCTGCCACAGCAGGGTTTGATAAGCGGTGTGTAGGTCCGCGCCCTGGATCCGAACCTGCAAACCCTGGGCCACCAAAGCGGAGTGTGCGAACTTAACCACTAGGCCACTGGACCAGCCCCTATTCCAAATTTTTAACCTCTAGAAGATTTTTTTTTCTATGACATCTCAGTAATTCTTTGGATAACAACTGCTTGAACTTAACAAAAAGTAAGTCATTCGGCTTTGGAACGGTTTGAAAGATATTGCTGAAAATCTGTTTCCATGTAGATGTAAACCATTGATCCTACCTCTTTTCTTTGGATCATTATAAGTCTAATTCCTCTCACATATACCGTTTGTTTTAAATTTGCAGAATGTGTCATGCTATAAATATGGAAAATAGGGAAATATGCTTGGGTATTTGTTTGTGATTGAGCACCATACCAAAGAAGTCTAAGCAGTGGCTTGTTGCCAAGGTAGAGTGAGGTCTCTAAAACCATGCCAAAGGACTCTTCTTTGTTTTTTTCCTATCCACTTTTTTTAAAATCTATGTTTGGACCAAGTGATTGACAAGCCTAGAGATGGAAAAAAGCTAAAGAAGAGAGATATGTTGGATGATTGAATCTGGATTCAATAAAAATATGGACAGGATGTGATAATTGGTTGAAACTAATAAATTTTAACAGCAATAAGTGCAGAGTTTCATAAAAATTTTTCCAAAATTACCTGTATAAGTACAAAATGACTCTGCAACACGTCGAGCGAAACAGGCTTAGGGATTTTAACTGACCATAAGCTTACTCTGAGTGAGATATGGCTGTAAATGTATTTGAATAGGCATACTCTCTAAGCAAGTATGGCCATAATTCCCCTGGATTTATGCTGGTCAGACCACACAGGGAACATCAGTTCCTGTTCTGGATTTCACTTTGAGAATCATGCCGAGAAACTAAAAATCCTCCTGAGAAAGTGACCAGGGTGGTTAAGGGTTTGAAACTACTAGGAGATACAGTGGAAGAAACTTAGGAAGCTTAGCCCCAAGCAAAAAAGTCTTAGAGGTGGGGTCTGGGGAAGCATAGCTCTTTCAAGGAAAACAGATTGAGGACCTCTTAATGGAGTTTGAGGAGGGAAGAGAAGTAAACAGAACTCAATCGAACATAAAGGACTTAAACCAATGTTACTGCAATAAACAAAAAATTAAAAAAAAAAAAAAAAAAGAACTTCCTTAAACAACCGAAGGGACTGACTTGTGAAGTAGTAAGCTCTTATCACTGACAAAGGTCAAGACTGTTCAAAGGAATGTTCTTGGGGGATTCATGAATTGGAAAGGAGGTTGAGTTAAGTCAACTTGAACTTCTCATCCAAATCTAATACACTATGCTTCAAGGGCTGGTCTTCAAAACAACATAGAGTTTATGGCCTGGTGGCTCCCTGCCCAGGAAGAAGATCCTGCCTTGGGGACATTTTGTTGCTCTGTGATATGTTAGGAGGGAGAATTTCCTGCATATGGTTCAGTTACAGTCAGCTGTTACCCTGCCGTTCCTTTTTGGAATATCAGTGTCAAGCTTCTCCTTTTGGAAAGGGAGCAGGAGGGGATGATAAGCTGGGAGCAGAGAGGTTCTTGTATTAACCTTTCACTTCAGTTCCAGGCATTCCTAACCTGTTATGTCAATTTGAGTCTATGACTGAATTTAAAGGTTCAGGTTTCCCTTCCAGAGATGGGGCGCAGGCACTGAAACAGCTGCTAGGACTAGGGAGTGGCTAATAGTTGGAAGAAGCCAAACCACAATCTATCGGCTTTAAACTAAAAAAAAAAAAGTGATTAGAGCGAGAGGGAGTTGCCCCCTCCCCCAACACCACTTGCGCTGACCTTTGGATCACCTCACCGAGCAGGAGGTGAACATGGGAACAGGTGCGCCTCACCCCTACCGCACTTCTAAAGAGGGATTGTCACGCTGCGGTCAGTGTGCCTGGAACCAATTAATCGAGGCTAGACGAAGGACAGACTGGGAGAACAGGAGGGGATGGGGTCCGGGGAGAGAAGCCGGGAGCCATGTACGGTGTACACTGCAGATGACATCATTGCCTGAAAGAGATTTTGCCCTCCCCTTCCCGGAGCTGGAGGCAAGCATGTCTGTGAGGGAGCAGGAGTGGGGTGGTCTGGAGAGTGAATTGGTGGGAGGTGTGATCGTGCTGGGGCGAGGTGTAGAGATGTGCGAGGCAGACCTGGAGACAGCCAGCGAGCTGAGAAATCGCGGCGGCGGGGGCTGTTTGCGCTGTTCCGGGCTCCGCCCCCCGCTCAGCGCCGTGTTCGGCCCTGGGAGGGGCACGCCTGTTTGGGGGTGGGGAGTGTGTGCACGAGGGGGTGGGTCCGTGGTGGCGGTGGGGGTGGAGAGCTGCCTGCGCATGTCAAGGCTGACTGAGCATACACGGTCAGGGGGGCCTGGAGAAGGGCAGCTGGTCACCGGCCACCCACGGTCGGGGCCCCGGCACGATCCGGGAGCGAGCTCTGGGGAAGGGGCCCATCCTCCCCGCCGCACTCCACCCCCCGCCTCTGAAATTTTCAGCCAAACAAGAGCTTCCGCCTCCTCCCCTGCCCCTCTGGACCTCCCCGGGGAGCCGAGGGCGGGCGTGGACGGCACTGAGGTGGAACGAATTTTGTAGCTCAGACGGGTGGCCCCGGTGGCTTCGGGTGGACACGCCCAGCTGGAGAAGCCGGTCAAGGCGGATGACGCCGCCGCTCCCGGGTCTTGGCGGATCCTGGTCGGAGCGTAGCTGTTCCTAGGGCAGGTGAGAGGTGGATCAGCATGGAACCTTTCGACAGCCCGGCCGCCTAGAGCCAGCCATGCTGCTCGCTTCCGAGCTGAGCTTTCTCCGAGGCGCAAACAGGAGAAGCAGCCGTGCAACTGGAATTTGAAGTTCCGGGGTGGGCGGGGAAGGTACTGTCCGTGGTGCTGAGCCGGATCCCAGCAACGGGCTCCGGGGAGAGCGTGAGAAGCTGCTGATCTGCTCCCTCGAATTGGGGCGGTCGGCTAGGGTAGCTTGGAGCTGAACCCCCCACCTGGCTCAAAAAGCCTGCAGAGCCTCCCCAGTCACCGGCGCTTGGCCCTTATTTCAGTCAGAAAGTCGCCCCCTTGGGGCAGTTCGTCCCAAAGGGTTTCCTCGAAAGTGTCTGAGAGGACGCAGTTCTTGACCAAGGGAATCTCTCTGTTTAGCTCTGGAAGCCACCCACCGAAAAAAGATGCCTGCTTTCAACAGATTGTTTCCCCTGGCTTCCCTCGTGCTCATCTTCTGGGGTAAGTACCAGCACCCTGCCATGTGAAATGCAGATAACAGTAATAACGCAAACAATAATAACACTTATTGATGTCGTTGGTGACAAAAAGGAGCCCTAGTTGGCTTCCCTCTGTGCACGTCTGCCAGACATGGAGATCCATAAGGGGTTCCATGAAAGCTGGGATTTTAAGACTGGAAAAATGCCTCCCCGCTTCGCTGTTGCTTTATTCTGGAACCTCCCTTGATGTTTTTTTCCACCCCTCCTCCCGTTTCCTGTTAATTCCAAGGTATTTTTTTCTGTTTCCCTTTGCTGAAAGGGAATGCAGTCACGTTCATTATAAAAAATCTCAGTTGCAGTTACATTTCATTTCTCAATGAGTCGTCAATGGGTCTTCAAATTAATTTCTACATATTAAAAAAAAAGCTGGATGCATGCATTTTAAGAGTGAAAATACTTCAATTGTTGATCCATCTGTTTAATTGTAATAAGGAAAACAGGTTTCAGCCATTTGTACCTATGTATTAGGTAAATAGGCACCTGGGAATTGCATCTTTCTTCTTTTTTGTGAACATGTTGAGCTAAGGTGCTTTGGTGTTTGGGGAGCTGGGATTTTTGCTTTCAAAGACGAATAGGTTCTTGCTTGTCTTCTGTGGGGGAATGAGGTGACCTTCTCACTCCAAATAAGGGAGCCCTGCACTTACAACAGCAAGGTTAAGCAGAGTGGTGTCAGAGATGAGCTTGCAGCGGGGTGCCTGGATGTGTGTAGAGGGAGTCAATGAGTTTACGTGATAATGTCTGAATATGTGGTTGAGAGAATGCTTTACTGTGTCAATGTATGCCTCAGTGTTTGAACGTGTGCGCTAGTGTATGTCTGAGCATGTTAGTATGGGCGTCTGAATGGCTTGGTGAGGATGTAGTTGTGTGTGTGTGGTGATTGTGTAATACTGGGCATCTCTGCCTTGGTGATTCTGATTAGATCTTCAGGTGAAATATAGAAGCTCTTCAGTTGATATATTGCTTTATATGATCTTAGCTACCTTCCTCCATGCTAAAAATCAGTAACCAAGATAATTAGAAGTGATTGTGCCCACTTGCCCTGTTGAAACTAGATATGTGGGATTATGCTCCCGTGGTTGCATGAAACTCATTCTGCCTGTGCAGCTCAGATATGCTGATAGGAATTGCCTCTTTGCCTTAGTATCACTTTATTAAGCGTCCAGGACTAACTCTGGCAGCCAGCATTATCTGGATTTTGCCTGTGACTAGAAGCAGAGCCAAGCTTCCTGTTGAACAAAATGCCTGATGAGAGAGTGCTGGGGAGGACAAAGAGGGAGAGTAATGCCAGTCCCAAGGACAGACTCCCTGCCATCCATCCCCAGTAGAGTAGACCAGACCTGAAGATGAAGCCAACATAATAGGTTGCCAATGATGTCACCTACCTTGAAAATTTAAGGCTGGGATTTCCTCAGGGGAGGCTAAGCCTAGGGACACGAGGCTTAGGAGAGATTAGTCTGGCTGGATAAGAAAGAGTGTGGGTAAAGCAATGGGAGATAAAGTTGTAGAGGAGGGTTGGGGTGAGATTCTACAGAGCCTTTCTTCCCAAACCCTAATTTAAGTTTTCAGCATCTCTGCCTGAATTCCAGTGGAGGAAGAGAGCATGATATTGTCCAAGGACCTTTTGACTAGGACTTACAAAACCTGGGTTGGGGTCTTTGCTCTGCCACTAGCTTGCTGTGTAACAACCTTAGATTATCTGGTTCCTCATATCCAAAGTTTGGAGGTTGGAGCAGATGATATCTAACATCCTTTTCAGCTCCGCAACTGAACGGTAGGGAAATATTTACAGAATATAGCTAAAATTGGCAGTGTGCGCACATTACACCCATCCCTCCTCATTCTCAGCATCTTTGTAATCTGAACATTGGTTCACCAAACTGAAAAGCTGCAGCGAGAAAGAGGGATGGTTCAGGAAACTTGGCCATTAAATGTAAGAGAAAGGGCCTCGCTTCACAAATATAATTTCATTTATTTGCATGTAATTCTCATATTGGAAAGCACTTAGCGTAGATGTGTTCTTCTTTCCCAAGTTGATTTTTCACATGATGCAAATATGAATGGAAAGAACTTTTTCCATTCTTTTATTTTCTGCATGTATTGAAAAAAGTTCCCTTATTTCCTTTAATAAAGTATATAGTAATAATAATAATTTTAAAAACCCTACATTTGCCTGGTGCTTTACAGTTTACAAAGCAATTTTCAATCCGTTACTTCTTTTGGCCCCCATATCAATCCCACAGGGATAGCCAGGGGAAGTAGTACTATTTCCAATTTAGAGACAAGAAAATGAGCTCAGGGAGGGGAAAGGACTTGCTAGAGAACTCTTGTCTCCTGATTTCAGTCTTACAGTGCTTGTTCTAGCACCTCTGATGGACATATGTGCTGCTGTGCAGGATTGCCTGATGGGCATCTGTCCTCTCATCCCTCTTCTGAGCTACCTTCCACTCCTCCCCCATGCCATTACCTTTCCTAGGGTCTCACTCATCCCTTAGCTCCTAGTGTCCTCTCTGCTCTTCCTCTCTAGGTCTGCTCTCCCAGATGTCCCCTGTGTTGGGGAATGTTTTCCTCTCTTCCCCAACTAGCCCATGTTGCATCCCATTCTTTCAAGGCTCTGCTAAGTGACTGTCTAATCTGATAGACTAAGTCATTTCAAGGTGTTAATATTTGCAAATAACTTCATTTATTCCCCCCTTTTGGAAAGTATTTACATTCTAATCAAAGCCTTTGTTATGTTAACACAAAAGAAAGCATTCTAGAGCAAGTTTAGGAGGGGCAACATAGCAATGCCCAAATGCCCAAAAAGATTTGGGGTATTAGAGGTGTTGGTTCAATACACATTAGTATCTACCTCGTTATAGATTGATGCTATTCCTTAGTTAAATATAATCATCATTAATACCTCATATTCTTCCTTCTCATAAGTTTCCTCATTATTGCTATGGACATTGAAGAGGAGACCAAAGGTCAAATGATTTGGCCAAGATTATTCCAGGAGTTTATTATTTACAGTCAGCAATGTGGGTTGAACACCTACCATACGTACAACCTTTTCTTGGATATCTAGAGAATTTCATAGAAAGAGAGGCAGTGGTGTACTGGAGACTCACAGGTTGGAGAAGCAGAATTCACTTCTTGATGGAAGGAGCAGCAAGTCATATTGCAAAGGGCAAGCAAACAGGGATGAGAGGATTTTGTGGCCATTTTGCAATGTACTATCTAGGACCTCATGAGCAGAGTTCTTATGCCTTCAAACTGGACTTTGGCCGGGAGAAGGGAATCAGTGGGGCTTGCTCTCTGGTGATACCTTGGATTATTATCATCTCAGGGGCAACTTAGGAAAAAGAGAGCTCCCATGCCATATTCACCATCCTGACTGCATATATTTTTCCCTTCTTCCTTTAACTGTATATGAGCTGTGTCCTATATTAAGACTAACTCATCTACTTGTTCACTAGAGAACATCACCTCTCACCTATTCAAGGATGTTAGTCCAGCAAATTATTTCTTTTCAAACCCCAACAGCTCCACTACTACCTTCATCCAAGCAAAACCATTGAACCGTCTCTCAGTGTGATCACTGTACCAACGTCTTTTTTTTTTTTTTTAAGATTTTATTTATTTATTTTCCCCCCAAAGTCCCGGTAGATAGTTGTATGTCATAGCTGCACATCCTTCTAGTTGCTGTATGTGGGACTCGGCCTCAGCATGGCTGGAGAAGCGGTGCCTCGGTGTGCGCCCGGGATCCGAACCTGGGCCACCAGCAGCAGAGCACGCGCACTTAACCGCCAAGCCACGGGGCTGGCCCTGTACCAACCTCTTAACTGTCCTCTTTGCTTCCACTCTTGTCTTTCCTCACCTCTTCAGTTCATTCTCAACATGGCAGTCAAATCATGCAATTCTGTATAAATCATATCATTCTTCCACTCAGCACCCTCCAGTGCTCCCCATGTCACTCTAAGCAAAAGCCAAAGTTCCAATCATGGCTGACAAGACCAGCTATGATCTGGCCCTGGCTTCTCTCTCCTACTGTGTCTCCTTCTATTCTTGCTTTGTTCCCTGTACTTTATTGTGCTCTTTGCTTTCAATAAACACACTTCCACCCTTGGACCCTTGAGTTGCTATTTCCTCTATTTGGCACACCTTCACACAGTTATTCATATAGTTTGCTCCCTCATTCCTTTCATTCAGTGCCTGCTTGATGTCATCTTCTCAGTGAGGCTGTCTCCAATCATCCTATGCACTCTCTATCTCCTCTGCTCTGTTTTGTTTTTCCTCATAGCGCTTATAACAATTTAGTGTTGCTTATCTTCTCTCTCCCTCGACTAGAATGAAGGCTCCATGAGAGCAGGTGTGGTTTCTGTTTTGTTCCCTGTTGTATTCTCAGTGTCTAGAACAGTGCCTGGCATACAGTAAGCACTTGATATATTTGTTGAATATATGAATAAATAAATTAAAGGTAAAAATAACATTAACAAAGTGATATTTGTACAAAGTATGTTCTTATAAATTATTCCATAGGATTCTCATGACTAATCTATTAGATATTATTTTCAGCATTTTCTTAATGAATAAACTGAATCTCAGAGAGGTTAAATAGTAGATCAAACCCAGGCCTTCAGTTGCCAAATACCATCTTCATCCTGCCTCTATAACTGTAACTGTATATTCTTTGGTACATTTTCATATTCTGCTCTTGAAGTCATCATCATTGAACTAGCTTATCTTTACCACATGTCATTAAATATGAATGTGCCCCAAGGCTCTCTGCTACACAGAGTTCTCAGTGCACACTCTACACCTCCACCTACTCAAAACTTTTGCACAGACAATGTCGTCGTCTTCTTTTTTTTTTTTTTTCATCAGGCCTATAATCAAGACTTCAAACTCATCACATGCTGAAGATGTTTCTGATCAGTTCTCCCTAGTTGTGGACCCTTTCTCCGCTAAAGTGATGGTCCCTGTGCAAAAGCAGGAGACTCTCTTGCACACTTCCTGAGAAGACCAACCCCAGCTTGCCTGAGAGTTTTAAAATCAATTAAATTTATTTTACCTTGACATTTTAAACTTTATCACAGTGCCACTAGTTTTTAAACTCTGTGTTTAAAAATAAAATTTGTTGCCTTCTAAGTCAGTCAAATACAGTATTTCCTTTTTTGACTCAAAATTAGCCAGTCTCATTTTAAGCTCTAAATAAAGCTTTTTTCTGCTTTTAGAAAGAATTGTCTGCCAGTAGATGAACAGACTGACCATTTACAGTGGACTAGTTCTTAAATGACAATGTGTATTTTCATTTTTTTAGGGGTTCTGTTTTTATTATGAATTCATGAGAAGGTAGCATCAGAAGGGCCCTTAGAAGTCCTAATACAAGAGCCCTCAGTGGTCATCTCACTTTTGAATCTTTCATACAATGAGGTGTAGACTCTCTTACCAAATAGTGTTTTGCATTTGTAAACAGCTTCAGTACCAGAAAATTCTTTTTTGTCCTTAGTTCAACTAAACTTACTTTCTTGTAACTTTTGGAGTTGAACAGAATCTATTTTCTCTTTCACAGCCCAGCCTTCAAATATTTGAAGACAGATAAGTTCTGTGTCCAAGCTAAGCACCCCTAGTCCTCATATTTGTTCCTCACCAGACTTTGTCCCCTGTCCAGTCTCCATCTTGCCCCTCTCTGGGAATGTGCTCATTGAACAACTTCCTTTTGTAAAAGTGACACTCTGAATTGATCATAATAGTCCAGATTTTTTCAGAACAGTGCAGAGGAACCGTTCCTGCTTTGTTCCGCACATTGTACATCTGTTAATGCAGCCCACGTTTGCATTTGCTTTGTTGGCAGCCATGTCCCACTTTTGACTCACTCAGAATTTGCAGTCTGATATACTTGCCTTTTTTAACGGGCCACGAGTTTCTAGAGGGCAAGAATTATAAGTCCAGACCTCCGCGTGGCAGGCAAGGTGTCCCACAATCTGCTCTCTCTCCAGATTTTTAGCTTTGTCTCTCTCTATTCCTCTGCATAAAGCATTGCTCCAGCCCAGTGGACATCTCACTGCTGCTCTATCCTTCACTATGCATCAAAATTATGTACATTTTTCATAGAATACAGATATAAGAACTCTCCATGGCTTTAAAACTTTTGACCCCTCATATTGTGAAGCATATACAGAGGTTATCACAACATGAGTCCTATCTATCTTTCTAGCCTCAAGTTTCACCATCCTCCTCTTCCTCTTTCCTCAGCCCAACGAAGAATAATTGCCCCTCTTCTGGGAACAGAGGTTACTCGCCATGGTCTGATTTGATGGTACTTAAGATTATGTGTTCTCTGCTAGATTATAAATGCCTCTAGGGTGTGGTTAGGGTTTTGTTCATCTTTGTATCTCAGCCTAGCATCAGGCCTGGCATAGAGTAGATTTCAGTGAATGTTGGTTGAATGAAGGGGTGCATGGATGGTCAGTGGATGGATGCCTGCGTGCCCTGTCTCCCTCCTAGACTCTAAGTCTTTGAAGGCAGGGCTGCACCACATCCCCACTGCTTCCCGGGAGGCTTTCGGTCAATTCTGGGTCATCCATGCTTCTTCTCTCCCACTCCCTCCCTGTTCTGAGCATGTGTACTCTGGCACACAGGTGAAAGCATACACACATGTATATGCTATTTGCAAGTTTATCTGATGATTCTTCCTTCTCTGTCTCTCTCCCTCCTTCCTTGTTCTCCACTGCTTCTTTCCTGGTGTCCCTCTCCCCACCGCCTACTGTTCCCTCCCTGTCATCTGACGTCTCTCCAGTCCGTGCCTGCTTCCCCGTGTGTGTGGAAGTGCCCTCGGAGACGGAGGCCGTTCAGGGCAACCCAATGAAGCTGCGCTGCATCTCCTGCATGAAGAGGGAGGAGGTGGAGGCCACCACGGTGGTGGAATGGTTCTACAGGCCCGAGGGCGGTAAAGATTTCCTAGTATGTCTGACTGCTGACTCTGGACTTTCTTCTGCTGGCCTCTGCTGTTTTGTGCCTGCCTCCCGAGAGTCTGGGGAATGGTGATCTGGCAAACACTGGCTCTTTCTCATCAAAGCACTGACAGCTCCTCAGCAGATAACTGACAGGCTTAGTTCAGCTCAGCCTCTGTGAAAGGAAGGGCACTTGGCCAGCTGCCAGCTTATTCCTGGGTATAAGCAGAGGCAGGCAGAGAAAGATAAATAGTGTTTGGAGCCTACTGTGTGCTAGTCACCCGACCAGGCAGCTAGCAGGTGTTTCCATTTCGTCTTCCACACCATCCTGTTGGGTAGATTAGATTAGTAGAAAAATGGAAATAACACTAAGCATCATTATATGAGATAACATGGGTTAGCTCATTTAACTCTCACAATCCCAGTGAAATAAGAATGACAGAGATGACCAGGGCTGATATTCAGCTGGTACATCCAGTACAGCCACATCAGTGGGTAAAATTTTAAATAGTTCTATCATGGATACTTGCTGTGCCAAGCCTCTCAAGTGGCCCCACCACCATCCTTCCCACTAGGAACCCCTAGGCCTCCCATGATCTAGAAACCAAAGAATCAGCACATGACAGAGCAGGGAGCCTCCAAGACTGTGCCCCTGTGCTGTGGCCAATGTCAGTTCTGACTGGTTGGTGTCAGTACTGAAATGGTTGTTACACACTTCTAATACCACCTGGGGGATGACCGTTAGTCACACTTTCACTGTCTCTGGAGCCAGGCTGCCTGGGTTTCATTCTTGACTCCACAACTTACTAGCTCTATGTCTTTAGACAAATTGCTTAACCTCTCTGTGCCTCAGTTTTGTCATCTCTAAAATGGGAATATAAACCATAGTTACCTCATAAAGTTGTTACCAGGATTCCTGAGCTTTAATTTTTAATGCATTTAGAATAGTTCTGGAATATAGGAAGCCCTATATAAATAAATGTTTGTTAGAGAAAAGATATATATATATATAAAGGAGGCAAGTGAGGCTCAAAGAAGTTACGTTAGTAAGAGAGCGTAGATTTGAACCAGGTCGTGTGACAGCAGATACAAAGCCCGTTTTACTGCACCACCTCGCCTTCCTGGAGGCAAGTTTCTCCTCCACAAAGACTTTTAAGAGACAACAGCAGGGTGAAATTGAGTTTCGCTCACTCTTCTGTCTAGCTTTCCTAAAGCTGAACTCATTTCTGACTCTATGCTGTGTGTGCCATTCTGACACAGGTTTGCCCCATCAGGTGCCAGAGCTGGAGCCAGTAGACTTCCCAGCGCCTGGCTCCGGGCTGGCCGTGACTGAGGCTAGTCCCCGGTTACAGGAACCTGGATGTCTTGGCCAGATGCAAAAGCCCCATGGGCCTCAGGCCTGGTCTTGTGCCAGCTGCCTACTCTGCTTCCAGGCCTGCCCAAAGTGAGGAGAAAGGTGGATCAAAAGGAGGAAAAGAAACTTAAGAAATTGTGGTGGAAATACAGAGCAATGCTAATAAAAGCTTTTGTGAAGATGGAAGTATTCATATTTGTGTTGTCCAATACAGCAGCCACTAGCCACATGTGCCTATTGAGCACTTGAAATGTGGCTAGTGCACCTGAGGAGCTGAATTTTACATTTTATTTCATTTCTACTAATTTAAATTTTAATGTAAGCAGCCACCTGTGGCAAGTGGAGACTAGAATGGATAGCACAGCTGTAGAGGAAAAAAGGCGTGTCAGAAGGTGGAAGTGTTTGAGAAAAGAAATTTAGAGACCACATTTCAGTTGTAATTCAGCTCAAAGCGAAAGACCTGATGTGTGCGTGTCAGTTGGCAGCTCACTGCTCACCTGCGATACCTTAGCATCCTGGATCCCCTTCCTGTGGCCTGGCCTAGACTGCCCACATCCTCTCAGTGCCGAGCAGCTCGGACAGCCAGGTTTTGAGGCCAGGGCTTTCAGATGAGTTCATGACTGATGAGACTGCCTCTTTTGGTCTCTATGCCTTGTTCTCTCCCTGGCTGTCCCTAGGACACAGCTTACTCTCTTGTTCTCTCTATTTCCTTCCAATGGTTTCTTTCTCTCAATCTCCTCACCTGGTCTCCTGTGTGCTTCACTCACCTTCCTTTGTGCTTCTTTTCATCTCTTTTTTCCTGCCAAGCTTCTTCCTGCTTGCCCCTTTCTGCTTCTTCCCTTGACATGTCCATACACCTTGGCACCTGTTTGCCTTTGTCCATCTTTCTCTGTGTTTGCTCTCTTCCCTGCCCTCCTTTGAGCCTCCTCATCCCACCCCCACCCTCTGAGCTCCTTCTAACATTGCAGCCTGTTTTCCCTGTCCATGCACGATTCTGTTCCTTTTCTCTGCCCTCTCCCCATCTCAGCTCTCCTACCCTCTTCTTCTCTCCTGGCCCTACCCTCCTCTGCTTCTCTACCTGCAGATCTACGAGTATCGGAACGGCCATCAGGAGGTGGAGAGCCCCTTCCAGGGACGCCTGCAGTGGAACGGGAGCAAGGACTTGCAGGATGTGTCCATCACTGTGCTCAACGTCACCCTGAATGACTCCGGCCTCTACACCTGCAACGTGTCCCGGGAGTTTGAGTTTGAGGCACATCGCCCCTTTGTGAAGACTACACGGCTGATCCCCCTTCGAGTCACCGAGGAGGGTGAAGCTGGGGCACAGGGTCTCTAGGGTGCCCTGCTCTTGGGTGGTGGGCAGTGGGATTCCACACAAATCAGACTCTTGCAGAGTGCAAAAACCAATATATTTGGAAACATAATATCTAAAAATGTCACCATTGGCTTGTCTTCCTGTAGTGGCCAGCCTCCTGCAAACTGGCCAACTAGCTTGCCTCTCTGTGCCTTTCCTCAAAGTAGAAAGGCTTGGAGATGATAGTAGAATGAACTCTTCCTGGTCCCTTGACTCTCATCCTTAGAGAAAGGGGACAGCCTCCATGAAGCCTAAAGTTGCCAAATCAGCTACGCCTTGTTCTGTGGCCTGGGTTGAATCCCACACTCAGTGGGCTCAGAGGTTATCTAGAGTTCATCTACCCTGCTCTCTCTAAGCCGTGCATACCTCAAACCAGTGGTGCTAAAACTTCAGCAGGCCTCAAAATCCCCTGCAGACCTTCTTAAAACTCAGACTTTCTGATTCTGTAGGTAGAGCCTGAGAATTTGCGTGTCTAACAGATAGCCAGACAATGCTGTTGCTGCTGGGAACCACACTTTGGGAACCACTGCTCTAAACCAAAATGTGACAGGCTTTTGTCTTCTGTCTTCCCCCACAATAATCACACAGCATCCCTTTCCCCATCGTGGCATCTCTCACTGCATAACCTCATTCTCAACTGGGAGAAGGGCAAACGTTGATAGCTCTGCAGTCTTTAGTTTAAAATCTTCAGGTTTCCACGGCTTGTTCCTTATTAGGGTGGGAAGTCCTTTCATCAACCTAACTCAAATGTTTCTGTTGCAATCAAGTCCAGAATCTTGAGGGTGAACTTCGAGTCTTCTCATACACTGTTCTTGTTCTGCTTTCAATGGCCTCAGAGAACAGTGGCATCTAGCCTCATGCAAATGTTCCTTCACATGTCAGAAGAATGATATATGCACCACCCTTTGTGTTTTCTCACCCAGGCTAAGTGATAATTCCATTTTGCTTAGCCTTCCTCAAACCATCTATTTCCAGTATGTTCTTAGCATTATGGCTGCCCCAAGATGCAGGATGGTAAACAGGCAAAGGTGTGGGGCATGAAAGAAAGAAGAGGTCAAATTTAAGATAGGGTCTTCCTAGAAAAGGACCCCAGGAATCCTGGCCTACAGGCCACAAGTTTATTTTTTATCATGTTGTTGTGTTCAAATTTATGAAGCCAACCTGAGAGCAAACGACCAAGTAAGAGATGTCATGATTTAGTCAGACAACATGACTAAAACGGAAGGTAGGTCAATCCTGAAAGTGCAGAAGGCCTCTCAGGCCACTTGAATCTAGACCTGATGAGCCACTTCCCCTCTCTGAGCCTGTCTCCTTTTGTGTACATCGAGGGGTTGGACTGGCAGCTCTCTAAGGTATTTTTCTGTTCAAAAGTTCCATTATCCTCTTCTGTTTACACACCTCTTCTCCCTGGGGGAACGGAGCCTGGCGCCCTCTACTGTTCACCATTGGGAACTGTTGGCTGGTGATGCCAGACACTAGGAAGGTGCCTCTGTGTCTCCACTTCCCGCTCTCTCTGGCTTTTGCCTCCAGAGATCCTTGAGCAGCCGGTGCAGAGTGTGTCAAAGCTGAGCCAGTATGCCTGCCGGGCACCAGAGCCAGTCTTGGGTAAGAATAGAAGGAAAACAAGTTTGCTATCAGAGCCACAGAACCTCTCTGGATGTTAGGGCTGGAAGGAAGCTTGGCTCTCATTTAATCTAGGGATTCTTAACAAAGAGCAGGCATTAGAGTCACCCAGGGGCCTTCCTTCAGTGTAGATGGCTCCATACCACTCTTGTGGGTGTGAGTTCAGTAAATTGGGGTGAGATATGGCATGTGTAATTTAAAAATAACTCCCCAGGTGATTGGAGGGTGCAGCTCTGGTGCCCCTCATTTTGTGGCTGGGAAGACAGCCCTGGAAGAGTGAGGGGCTTGCCTAGGGACATGAAGCAAATTAGCACCAGAAGCAGGACTGCAATCCAGATCTTTTGCCTATCAGGCTAGCTCTATTTGCATTGCATCTTTTCCTTCTGCCACCATCCCACTCCCTGCCACTTTTTCTTTCTTTCTTTCTTTTCCCTCTGTGACCCCTTGGCAGACCCCCCACTCCCCCCACTCACGGTTCTCATATTGCTCAGAGCTACATACTCCGTGTACACACCATGACATACCCCACCGCATCTCCTCCATTCCTGTGGCCCCAGAGAATCTCCCTAGTTCTCTTTGTTCAAGCCGGACTTATCCTGGTTTAGGCTCTCAACTCCTGGCTCTAAGACAAAAATCTGAGGCTCTTCACCTAGAGGTGACTAAAAATACTGAGGATAGCTTCCTGTGTTACTGCTCCTAGGCTATTGCTTTTAAAAAGAGGTAGTGTGCTTCAAGCTGAGCACATCACAAATCAGGTAGAAGCAAACCCATGAGAAGACATTTGATGTGTATGGCATTCTCCTCTGTCTCAAGCTGCATCGATGACCTCCAGCTGCAGTTAGGGAACCTGGATGATCCTGGATCCCTTGGATCCTTCCCTGAGCTGAAGATTATGGATGTGGCTATGCTGGGCTTTTGAGCAAGGCCTTGGGGATGACTTGGGCCCTATGAATAACCAAGGACCATGAATCTAATTTGCTGGTGAGAGCTAGCAAGGGGAGACATGCCTGCAACTTCCTTCCCACTAGGAGGGAATACATATCAGGACATTTGCCATGTATCATGTTTTGATTGTCATTTTTGTTGATCATGAAACAACGATGATCAATATTTATTTATATTCATTCATTCAACAAATACTTACTGAGTACTTCAAATATCCCAGGATTAGACTACAGGCTGACAGTTCAGAAATAAATATGTTCTCCATAAGCACATAGTCAGTAGAGAAGAGAGAAAAATACATCCTAATACAACCTGAGAGGTGTTATAATGGATGGATGAAAAGAGTGCATGGCGAAGGACGTGAATAGCTCTGCATGAGAAGCTGAGGAAGATTTCACAGAGGAGGGGGCTTCAGTGGAGTCTAGAAGAATGATTGGGGGGCTGAAAAGCAGGAGAGGATGTTAGGACAGAGGTAGCAGTGGAGTGTGAGATACAATCTAGGAAGAGGGAAGAGGAAAGAGGAATTCCCACCTATTCCAAACGACCACGGTGTGTATGAGAAGAGAAGTTTTGCTGGCTAACCAAATGGAAATGAGATGAGAAAGGCTGGACTGTGAATGGCCTTGCATGCCATGTTCATCGAGATCGGACTTTGTCCTGAGGGCCGCATGGAACATTGAAAGGTTTTAAGTAGGAAACTGGCAGGATGAGATCTGTGTTTCAGAAGTAGAACACTGAGGATAGTCTGGTTAATACATGGAATCCTCCAGTGCTCTTTTCTGTTTGGGTTTGGAATGACCTGGAAGGAAGATGAACTGGGAAGGTCCCTGTTTCTAATCTAGACTTGTAGAGAACGTGCCCGGATCGCTGGTGGGCTGACTGCACTGGCCCTGTACATGTTTTCAGAAGCTCTCTCCCTAGTGCTACCACCCTCCGCCACCTACGCTCAGAGGACATAGGCAGTTGAACTAAGACACGTTCCTCACATCTGTGTAGACTTTTACATCTCATAAGATATTCTTAAATGCATTAGGTAATGTAATGGTGTGAGTTAGTATCCTCACTTTACAAATTAGGAAACTGAGTCTCAAATAAGGGAAATCACTATTCACACACCAGTAAGTAGCACAACTGGGAGGCAGCTATACATGTATCTCACTCGGTTCCAGGATTCCTTCCACTGCTCTCCTACTTCTTCTTCCACCCATCATTCTCCCTCATCCCTCCCTCCAGAGCATCTGAAGAAAGTGAGTGAGAAAGCTGGCAGACAGGAGAGTCGGAGGATATTAAATCTCTTTGACACCTCCTTGAGTTCCTTTAGACCCAGTACTTATTTAAGCCATACTTAAAAATAGGCCTCATTTATCTCTGACCCCAATGACAGCTCCGGGTTTGTTGGACACACATTCTGAGCCTCACTCTCCTCCTTGCAGCTGGAGAGGACTTCACCTCCGTGGTCTCAGAAATCATGATGTACATCCTCCTGGTCTTCCTCACCTTATGGCTGCTCATCGAGATGATATATTGCTACAGGAAGGTCTCAAAGGCTGAAGAGGCAGCCCAAGAAAATGCGTAAGTCCAAAGATGCCAAAAAATGATAGCTAGCACCTTCAGAGTGCTTGCTGTCACAGGTGCGGTGCTGAGCCATTTACACAATTCTCCACTTTCCTCACAATGACCTTTGAAGTAGGCAGCATTAATATACCCTTTTTACAGATGAGAAAACGGAGCCTGGGAGGGTTTGCCCAAGACCATTATAAGAGGCAAAGCAAGGTTTGAATTCATGCCTGCTAACTCTTGGCCTATACTCTTAACCACTAATGTAAAGCCCATCAGCTGCCACTACAACCCCCCAAAATTAGCATTATTATGACCATTTTATAGATGCTGAAGCAGTCTCATAGAGGTTAAGTGCCTTGCTGAGGCCACACAGATAATGAGAGGAGAGGCTGGGATTTAAACCTAAGCCTCTCTATTCCTAATGGCCATGCCCTTTCTGTCGCACTCAGCTGTTTGCTGGACACCATGGAGCTCATCAGGCCACCTGGGCACTGCCCTTTATTAGCTAAGGAGCTGCAAGCAACACATTCTTCCCCCTGAAGCTTGACAGCAATGGAATACCCAGAGTAGGGGCTCTCATTCTCCAACGTCCAGACTGTACCTTGCTCATTTTCACCAAGGCCTTAGTCACTCAGAAATGAGCACACGTGAGAAATAATGGGGTGTGAGGGTCTAAGAGTCCAAATTGGCCTGTTATTTGGGGAGAAAAAAGATAGAAAAGAACCCTCATAGATTTACAAGGCTAGCAACATTGCCAAAGTGATAATCTAAAAACCTTAGGCTATTAACACCTAGGAATGTTTGATAAAATAAAGTATCATTTTGCATGATATTTATGGTCTCAGGGAAGGAAAAAATTACAATTAACCAGATAGAAACATACAATGATATGCTAGGAGAGGTCCTATTCCTGTAAGCTAGGTGCTTGGAGTTTAGTGCTTGGACAGGAAGTGCCCTCATTTGGACAGGAAGTGCCTGCACTTGGACAGGAAGCTCCCGTGCTTGTACAGAAAGTGCCTAGAATTGGGCCTGCACAAGAAACAGAGTTGGAACTGAGGCCCTCAGCAGAGCCAGGATCCTCAGAGGGCTATAACTCATGCAAAGGAAAATAATCAGTCCACCAGTACAGGGAAAAGCCAAGGAAACTTATCCATCTTGGCCTGACTCCAAGTAGAAACATAAAAAATTCTTGAGAATTAGTAACCACAAGCCTGTTCTCACACTGTTTGGGATTTAAATTTATACTACCCATATGGTGCAGGAACCTCTAAGCTGAGAAATTCAATAAAAAAAATTAGTCCCCAGACAGTAATAACTATGTAGAAGCAAATGAAAAATCATTCTGAAGGGACCCACTTTCAGTTGAGGCTTAACAGGATTCCCCAGATAAAGCACTGCTGAATCTGATTTCACAGTCTGATCCAAAACTAAAAGACACATCAGGAAACAATCCAGCATGAGCAAGAGAAGTACCAAGGACAGGATTAAATGCCAGGACTTCAGACACAAGAAGGGCCTGATAGACTATAGAAAATAAGTTTGTTTAAAAGAGTTAAAACAATAAAAGGAGGAACCAAAAATGTAAGAACAGAGTAAGTTGCTAATAAAAAAGAACAGGCAAATTTGAATAGGAATAAAAAAAATCTGTAAATGAAAAATACAATCAATAAAATTTAAAAGTCAATGAATTTTTTCACCAGAAGATTGATACTGGTAACCAGAAGATCACTGTAAGGAAGTTAACACAGAATGAAGCACAGAGATATAAAAAGATGGAATATCACAGAGAAACATGAAGAAAAAAAAATGAGAAGATCAATTAGAATAGAATAGAGAAAATGGAGGAGAAACAATATTCAGAGATACAATGGCTAAGGAAAGGCATGACTCTGCAGATTCAGGAAGCACAGTATGTCCTGAGCAGGATAAATACATATAAATCTAAACCTAAACACCAACCATCTTTAAGCTGATAAATGGCAGCTACTTGGCAAATGTCATCTGTGTTGCAACTTTAGAAGCGTTGCCTATAATATTAGAAACATGTCAAGGATACCACCTCTTCCTGCTTCTGTTTAATATTGTATTGGAGATCCTAGGTAGTGTACTAAGTAAATGCAAAGAAAAAAGAGTAAGAATTGTAAAGAAACTAAATTATCATTAATCACCCGCAATATGATTACCTACACAGAAAACCCAAGGGAATCTATAGACAAATAATTAGAACTAGTAAGAACATTCCAGAAGATTGTTGTTACAAATGAAAATATAAAAATACAAAAATCACCTATATTCCAGCCACAAAAATTTAGAAAAATATTTAAAACATTAAAAAAAATTTTCAATTACAATAGCAACAAATACTCTCCAGTTCCTGGGAATAAATTTGATAGAATTGTGCAAGACCTTTAAGGAGAAAATTACAAAACTTGACTGAAAGACTTAAGAAAAGACTTAAATAAATGGAGAATAAAACCTCACTCTTATAAACATGGCAATTAATCTGCAAATCCATTGAAATTCCAATCAAAATACACATTGGATTTTTCAACGAACTTGATAAGCTGATCTTAAAAGTCAAATGGAAGGGCAAAGGGCCAAAACTAGTCTAAACCAAGGGATGAACAGATAGTAAATATTTTAGGCTTTGCAGGCTACACCGGGTCTCTGTCACATACCGTTCTTTGGTTTTGCTTCTTTGCTTGCAACCCATTAAACAAGTAACAACCCTTCTCAGCCCATGGGCCGTAGTTTGCCGATTTCAAAGAAAGAATAGTAAATTTGGGGGAGGTGGCTGGTAGGACTTTTCCTATCAGATATGAAGATTTCTTATAGAGCTATTAAAGTAAAGAGTTTGTGAGGCTGACATAGGCATACAACACAGACAAACAGAACAAATCAGAGAGCCCCCAAATAGGTTGATGCTTATATAAGAAACAAATATGTGGCAGAGATGGCAGTACAATCACTGAAGGAAGAATGAACTGTCCAAAAAGTGGTATGGGGACAATTCCTTATCCATATAGAAAAAACTAAAATTAGATTCCCCATCTCTCTCACTAAACAAAAATAGTGAGTGGATTTAAAGACAAACTAAAATGTAAAGCTTGAAAATTCTATTAAGGAATTAGACTATCTTTATTACCTTGGAATAGAGAGGAGTTCTTAAAATACAAAAGGCACAAATCAAAGAGGAAACAATGATAATTTTGATTACACTATACATAAAAATCTTCTGTTCATTACAAGAATCCACAGGCAAAGGTTAGAGACAAAAGACAGACTGGGAGAAGATATTTCAAGACATGAAACTATCCAAGGAAAATCAATGAGAAAAAGACAAATATCTCAGAAGGAAAACTGGCAAAGCAAATGAACAGTCAAATTACAGAAGTAGAAACCCAAATAGCCTATAAACTTATGAAAAGTTGCTCAACTTCACCAGTAATCAGGGAAATGAAAATTAAAGCAGCTATAAAATATAATTTCACACCCATCAGTTTGGCCAACATTTTAATCTAACAATACTAAGTCCTGAGAACAATGTGGGTAAGCGAGAATACTCATACACTGCTGATGGAAGGAAAAAAAAAAGCTCTTATTTTTCTAGTCTGCTGAAAGGGCCATTCTAGTTTTCTCTCAGGAAACACAGCCACTCACAAAGAAATGCAGAGCTGTTCTGTAGACATTCTTGTTTCTGTGTGCTTGCTCCTTCCCTTTGCTTGTGTTCCCACCTTTGGGTACAAAAGCACTGATTCTCTTTCCCTATCTGTCCTCCTACAGGTCTGACTACCTTGCCATCCCATCAGAGAACAAGGAGAACTCTGCAGTCCCAGTGGAAGAATAGCAGAGAAGGGGTGTGACTTGAGGTGATGCACAGGGAAGGGGAGGGGAAGGTGAGGAAGGATGGCAGGTTGCACTGGTGACTTTGTCACCCATAACCAAAGTGACTTTAAATTTGGTCCCTTAGATTAGATTTCTACCCTACCCAGAATCCCCACCCTCGGGGTACTTCTTTGAGTTGAAGCCCAAGTCACAAAGCTCTGTGCGATGGCAGGCATTGAAGGTGAATTGCTTTGGCCTGAGTGTTGGGGCAACTTGAACTCCTTACCCATAGTAACAAAAAGTAATTCCCCCACTATCTCCTTTGTAAGGATCATGGATTTGGTCAAAGAGTCCTTGCCTAGGCTGGACTGGACTGGGCTGGAAATTCTCAGTTAGTTGTTTTATCATTGGTAGGTGGCCTGAACACTGAGGAACCGGATATCCCAGGTTCAGTGATGTCAACAGCGTCAGGAGGGTGCCCCAGAGGCCACATCGCTTCCCTTCATGCATCCATCCTTCTATTCATTCATCATACCTCCACTCACCTCTGAACTTTCACCTCTGACTTCCTAACTCCATCAGACTTCTACACACCATAAGACTTTGCCAGAACTGAGGAGCCAACATTTCTACATGGACTCAACCTCACCTTGTCCTAGCTTTCAAGCAAGCAGCTCCCATGCCAACTGGACTTCTCCCCTGTACTCAACTGACTTTGTAGAAGTGCTGGAGGTGGCACACCCCTCTGCTCCTAATTGGCTGGAACTGGCTCATTTTCCATTGCTGCAAGTGAATGGATGTCTTAATGGAAGGAAGCAGGAATAATTAATTCAGTTAAAGCAAAAGAGTGTCATGAAATGGGATTCCTTGAAGTCAGTTTTTTTCAAGTTTCTAGCCCACTTGGCTAGAGCATCAGAGCAAAGCATGCCTGTCTAGGTTCTCCAGTGATAGAAAGTTCACTAGGCATGAACTAAAATGTTCTCTGGAGCTTGGTACCGATACATACCTGATATGTCTCTAAGACCTAGGTTGGACTCAGTCCTTCATGAAGCCAAGGAAAGGAGACTTGGGAGGAGCTGCAAGCAACTTAAGTGGCTCTTAAAAGTCATAGAACATGTTCATGATCCTAGGGGAAGGTATGCTCCCTTCCCACAGGAGCACACTGCCTGAGAGAGCTGGGAGGCATTATTTTCCTGTGGGCATTGGAACTGAAATTCCTAAATTCCTCCTCTTAAAATTTCTGTGGATCAGTATTATTCCACATTTTACAGGAGGCAGCTGAGACTCAGAAAGGGCTCGACTGAATAAGAGACTTCAGAGGAGAAACTGGAGCAGAGATGAGCCTTAGGTGCTGCCCAGTTTACACTTTGGGAGATGGGATAATTTTGTTTTTAAAAAGACTTTGAAATTGAACTTGGCTCTGGCCATGCCTCTTTCACAAGCACAGATTGGGGTGGATTGCCTAGCTGAGGTGAACTCTCATAGATTTCAGGTAGCTAGAAATTGGCCAACAGAGAGAAGGACCTGAGGTAGACTTGAAGAATTTCCTTAGTGAAAAGATTTGTGAATCTGAAACATCCTGCAGAAGGAGACTGCATCTAGGAACGACATTTAAACTAAGAAACATGCTTTTTAGTCTGAGAGGGATAATGAGCAAACGAATAAGTGATAGAGAAGGGATGGGCTAGGTGGCTTCCAAATAGTTCACCTGTGAATCCATAATGTCTAGTGGTTTGTTTTCCTGGATTTGGAGAGAGCAGAGGAACACTGGAAATATTTGTCAATATCTCATGTTTCATTTTAATTGAGTGGTCCAAGTGTGATGTCCTTCAGCACCCAGTGATGAGAGAGGGGAAGGATGCTTTATGGGATATGAGAAGATGAAAGTGACTGGGATTCAATGAGAGACATGTCCCTCAGATCTGGCGGAATTTATAGGGAAAGATCATCTTCCATTGGCTCTGGGCCTCACCCGACACTCTCATTTTGTCATCTCTTCCATCTCTGGGGAAGTACTTGAAACAAGTCCTTGTTCACATATTCAAGAGTCTGATTTTATTGAAGAAAATACTTGTTTTTCAATACTTCAAGAAAGAAAGGATTTTCAATAAAATCGAGGCTCTTCTTACTAGTAATTTCCCATATAATCCCTCTGAAATAAGGGACAGAATATAGATCATTCTTCCTACTTTATATTAGGAAAATAGGTCTGGATTACTGTGAGGTTTTCCTAGTCACATGGCTGGTTGATGGCAGAGCCTGCAGTAGAAGCAAGCTACTCACTACCATTCTACTTTCCTCTTGGTTCCAGCAGACCGCGCAGCTAACTTGGAATCAACTTTTATCTTTTAAAAAAGCCCAACTCAGATGCTTCCTGAGTGATTTTTAAGGAGCTGAATGGTACCTATAATTTCTCTTATTTATCCTTTACAAGTAACCTTCTCTATTATTTTCCTTTTTCTAACTTCTCAACTCTTTTCATCCTTAATACTTTCATTAGAGCTATATGGTTTACAAAGCATTTTCATTTCAATTATCTCATTTCTTCTCCAGAACTAGCCCTGAGGTGGATATTACTAATACCCATGTAACAAATGAAGAAACCGAGGCTGTCTGAGGCTAAGCAGCTTTACCAAATCATAAGTTTGTACAAGTGGTCAATGGAAAGCTGGAATCCAGGTCTGCTGACTTCTAGCCAGTTCTCTTTCCACTTAGACCATAGTTGCTTCCTTTCCTCTCCTTTTTTAAGGTCCATCTAGTCTTTGTGTCTCTTGCTTTCCTGAGATGTCCAACATCTTCTCTCATCCCTAACTCCACTCGACCGCTCCTCTACCACTTCGCTTCTTGGCAGATGCTAGAAATGTGCTTTGAGATCAATTTCATTTTGGTTTTCCCTTTCTACTCGGTTTGTATATCATTATTTCTCCTGAATTGCAATTAAACACCTTCCTGGGATACTTGATCATGACTATAAATCTACAAGGTACTGTGATCATTAGCCTACTTCATATCCTCACCCACCTCCCTGTTTCTCCCCATATTCCTACAAAGGACCCAGACTAATGTGCACTGCTCTGGAAGCTTTATCTGGCATGCTGTTCTTTTTAAAGGGCTTAGAAATGTTCTCAAGGGCTATTATCACTTTAGGAACCCCATCTGTTGTCTTGGTGCTGGATATTTCCTATGACTAATCCTCAATAACACAATTCACTAAAGGTCAAGCTAGGCTGGGTCTGATTTTCCCTTGCCTACTGCTTAACAGCCATGAACCTGACTGCTCAACTCAGTTGGCCCTGTAAACACCTTGCCCTACTGACTTTTACTGTCAGCTCTGTCTTGTATCACAGCCCCAACTCCTGCATGGAAATACCCTGACAGTGCCTGTCCCTACCCCAACCTTTATTGTTAGTCAGTTTAAAAGCATTATCCCTTAGTTTCTCCATCCCCATACATCCACACACCTGGCTTTCTGATTCTCTGAGTTTCTGGTTTCTCCTTAACTGCCAAACTAGAAATGTTAGTAGGAAAGAAATTTTTTCAAAGCAGGAATATACTGGAAATATGTGTAGAGCAGTGAATGGTTAAGAGAATAGATAGTAGCTCCCTCTCCTCCCCACAAAACTACTAGATCAAAAAGGAAAATATAACCATCTCTGAATCCACTTGACATAAACCAGAGAGAAAAGGCTGTGTAATTGCATCTTTGCAGGAAGAAGCAGCAAGAGTTAGACATATTTCAGAATATATCTTGGTTCCCCTTTCCCAAGTTAATATGGAAATGGAAAAATAAAAAAAGTTTTCTTCTCACCTCCTTTTGTAAATGAAAAATCCCCAACCCAGTGAATTCACCTAGTCACTGCAAATGTATCTGAATAGTATTTGGTGTGCTCATTACTCCAATCATCCGTTCATTCTACATTTCAGCACCCCCTCTTTGTCAAGCACCAATCTAGACCCTCAGTGTGCACCATGGTCTTAGGTCTGAAAAATGCTATCACCCAAGCCTTTCCTAATCTCTAAAACTCTACTGTGGTAGATAACTCATGTTGTTCTCCCCCCTTACTTAAGTTTATAGTAGGACCCAGTAGACAAGCACCTTAAGCAACTCTGAGTTGTAGATTAGACCCAATCTCTATCACAGGCCAGCTAAACCTCAAGGCTGGTAATATTCTTTTCCCCCGAGTCATCATTTGGCAAGAGCTATGTCCGATGGACAGTGTGTGCGATGGGAGGAGTGTCCGCTGAAGGACAAGTGCTTGTAGCTCTGTGACACGCCGTCAAACTAGCAAACTCTTACAGTCTTGCAGCTGATGGAACTCTGCCACAATGTCCCCTTCATATTGCTTTTTCTGATTTTCCACTGCCATTCTTTTTCTGAGCCCTAGAAATGTTGTTCCTGACCACCCAAGCTCTCCACAACCTAATGCCTGTATGTAGTGTTTTTCAGTAAACTCCATGTTTGTGTCAATAAAGTGTCTTTAAACACTGCTTGCTCTGGTCTTGCTCTGTGTCTGCTAAATATACTATGGCTTCTACCTACCTCCCCAGGCTGCATGGATTCCTGAACTCACAATCAGTGAATATATGCCCAGAGAATGAAAAATACATGTAACAGTCTAGAGTCCAACACATGATAAATGTGTGATCCAGCCTCTCCTCTCCCCTTTCCTCCTCTACCCAAATACAGACGAATACAAGAGTCACTTGTGTTCTCACCCACCTGACATCAAAGTTTCCTGCCAGGTGGCGAGGGGCTAACTGCAAGGAAGACATAATGAAGGGAGCGGCCCCATGGTTCTCAGCTCTACCAGTTTAGGTAACATAAGGCAATAAAGCAAAGCTGTCTCCCAATGTCCATCTTCCTGGAAGTGCTAAGGCCCCAAAAGGGAAAAGTTCAACAAGAAATTGTCATCGGGATTCACAGTCTACCATAATCTCCTATAATAGTACTGATTAATAATGAAATAAATTATCTTAGTATTGGGGGCTGGCCCAGTGGCGCAGCGGTTAAGTGCGCACACTCCACAGGTTTGGATCCCGGGCGCGCACCAATGCACCACTTGTCAAGCCATGCTTTAGCGGCATCCCGTGTAAAGTAGAGGAAGATAGGCATGGATGTTAGCCCAGGGCCAATCTTCCTCAGCAAAAAAGAGGAGGATTGGCATCGGTTGTTAGCCCAGGGCCAATCTTCCTCAGCAAAAAAGAGGAGGATTGGCATCGGTTGTTAGCCCAGGGCCAATCTTCCTCAGCAAAAAAGAGGAGGATTGGCATCGGATGTTAGCTCAGGGCTAGTCTTCCTCACACACACACACACAATTTATTGTAGTACAGTACCAGCCTCTATACTAAGAAATACACACATGCATATACTATGTACAGTCACATGTCACTTAACAATGGGGATACATTCTGAGATGCGTCGTTAGGCAATTTGGTTGTCATGTGAACATCACAGAGTGTACCTACACAAACCTAGATGGTATAACCTACTACACACCTAGGCTATATGGTACTAATCTTATTAGTTTATATGGGGTCAGTTGTTGACTGAAATGTTGTTATGCAGCGCATGACTGTGTATATACATATACATATAATATATATATTATATTATCTTTAAAAAACTGAGGCTTGGAGTAATGGATGGGGCCCAAGGTCACACAGCTGGTAAATAGCGATGTTGCAATTTGTACTCAGTTCTGATTCCAAAACTTCTTATCTATTCCACTTTATCAAGCTGCCTCCCTCCCTAGGAAGGAGGTCCTAGATGTTGTGTGGAAGGCTGTGCATACGTGTATGAGCATGCCTACACACACATGCCTTCAGGACTCGATCACATCTGGGAAGACCAAAAACATTTGGGACGATGAGCACTAATGAGTCAAGCAATAAACACACACACCATTTATGATTTGTAGTTCAATACTTTTTTCTTTTAATTCATACTGTACTTCCATGGCTCTAGCTACTTTACATTAAGATTTGGCTGGGAAGCCTTGCATGTTTCTAGGTACTAGCAGTAAGTTTTCAGACCTTGCGCACAGCGCCAGGCAAAGTACAGTTACAGATCCAAATACAGATGGCCAGACAACTCAACTGCAATCAACCTGTTCTTTCCCATATATGGCCCAGTGCAGGTGTTGGGGGCTGCTCCCTCTGCCTCATCCCACTCCACCCCATGTCAATATTATCCAGGGGCCACTATGGCCTCTGACCCATCCCTTCCCATCTTGAAGTCTAGGTTGAGTAGGGGGATGGGGGGGGAAGCACCATGGGTTTGGGAAGATGGTCTGGTCCATGCAGAGAGTGGTCTGGCCTTAGAGTACAGGACAGGGAAATGTGGGAGCCACACACTATTGTTGGCAAAAATGGTTGCTTTTACTACGCAATCTCAGCACGTGGCACCCAAACCCAGTGCCAACCCCCAGAAAGAGCCAGCTGTCTTGCCTGGAGCAGAGGGCACCATTTTGATTCTGCGATGTCTCACTGTGTTGAGAGAAGCAAGAATGGCCAAGGGGCAGAGATGACAATGTTCTTTACGCCTTCACATGTCTGGTAGATCGTCTGACATCAGCTCCTCTTGATAGGCAAGGTGCTTCTCGCCAGCAGCCAAGGCTCCAATTCAGGCTCCCAGGCCTGCTGAGGACCTCAAGTCACAACAGAAAACAATGCCCAAGACCCCTGAGCTGTCGCACAGAACACCAAAACGGAGCTGGCTGGGCCCATTACAGCCAAGACTGAAGCAGGAGTGAGGTAACAAGGCTGGGCAGAGAGATGGGAAGGGGAGCTCTCTACACCATGTGCAAATTCCTGCTCCACGTCAAGAAAGCAGGGGTGTTAAAAGACGGTCTTCCAGAAAAACGCTCCTCTCGGACCCAAAACGCATCTTCTGGAAGAAAACATAGAGGTGGCGGGGAGTGGGGCCAGCCTGCTGGAGGTTGGGGGATAAGGGTCAAGGATGTTGAGTGGTAGATGGGATGATTGTCCCACAGCCTAGAGACAAGGGGTGGGGAAGGAGCGAGTCAGGAAGAGAGGTTCTCAAGTTTCCTACTGGAGTGGACAGGTGAAGTCGGGGTGACGGGAGGGAGACCACAGCTCTGCCACCCAGGGTCAGAGAGAAGAGCGCTCTTTCTCCTGGGGGCCCTAGGGAGCAAGGGCTGGCTTTGGCTGCCTTCAGAGCTAAAGCAGCAGCATAGTATGGCACAGAAAGGATCCTTCTGAGACCACAAACAGTCCAGAAAGATTCTTCCCCTAGTCCTGTCTCCAAGATTTCACCCTAGAGATGCTGCCTGCAAATGTATTAGACATGGCTGGCCCAAGCTTAGGTCAGGATAGGGACATGAGCGAATCCACTTCTATCAAAGCATTTCTCTTGAGGTTTCTTGGTCCTCCACCCTCCTTGTAATCCCACCTTCTTACTGTTAGTGCTCTAAGGCAACCCAAGGATTTTAGCCAAAGCTTCACTTAATCCAAACCCTAACAAGGTTTGAGTGGAGCCAAAATAGAAGCGCTAGAACCAGGAATGACTTCTCTCCACTGTTTCTTCCAGCAAGGAGAAGAAAGGATGGATAGAGGAAGGTCTTCTTGCCTGGGGATGGAAGATGGGCTCAATCCAAGATAATGCCTTTCTTGCCATTATCCTCCTCCTCCCAGTTTAGAGAGAGTCCAAACAAAGGTCCCTTCCCAAACTAAGATTAGGCTAATGAAGGAAGAAATACCCTCCTAGGTTAACACTGAACACTACAGCAAGCCTGATCTCTCTCTCTCCCCCCTGTCCTCTATCCATCTCTCCCGCCGGGCCTCCCAAGCCCTCCTAGCCCCCAAAGAAGCAAGTTTTAACTACCCTGGATTTCCTGGGAGCCCAGACACTGCCTGATCACTCATCTAAACACCAGGGGAGCTCTAGCTCAGAAGGCTTGTTCCCTCCTGGCAGGGCACCTCCCAAGTCTGAGAAAGCCCAGCCTTGCCGGTTTCTGGCCAAGCCTCCAAGACAATGCCAAAGCTAGAACCTACCTTAGAGATAGTCTAGCCCAACTCCCTCCTGTTATAAACAAGGATACTGAAGCTCAGAGGGCGGAGTGACTTGTCCAATAACAGAGCCGGGACTCAGGTCCAAGTCACTGACTCTCAGCCCAGTGCTCTCACAGAGAGCTTCAAGTTACTGATCTTGCTGGCCTGGGATGTTATCCCCTTGTCCCAGGGGGAAAGGGGAGAGTTGCAGACATGACTGGCTTCTCCAAGGCCGATCTTGTCAATTCCTCCACAGTAAGCTGGAGTGGAAGTATAGACCCTGTAGCCGTTTTTCACCTGGTTAGAAACTTTGCAAAATCTCTGAAATTGAGTGCGAGCTCTCTAATGTTTTACTACATGAATCCCCACAGAAAGAGTCCTATGTGGCCCGAGTTCTCATGTGAACAAAAACAAAAGCAGCACTGGCTGGAATAAATAACAGAAAAGGTGGTTTTGATACGCCCTTGCAAATAGCTACAAGCCAGGCTTTGGCCAGGAATTACAATTTACATGTGATTTATGTTTCACTCCCAGACTTATCAGCAAGGGTGAGTTCCCTTCTCTTTGACAGGTTATTGAACAAGGGAGAAAAGCTTTTGTTTGGGAGTGAATAGAGTTGTTGGTTTTCACCTGGTTTCAAAGTCAAAATTATTAGAACAGAGCATACCCACAAGAGATCCATTATTCTTCGAAATGAGGCAGCCGAGGGTCGTTCCCTATGTGTACACATTGTCTCCAGGGTTCAAATCTCCAGAAATCATGAGGGTTCCTTGGATATACTAAGCACCTCCCTTCCCCGTCACCTACTCCTCCCTGGAATGGGCCTGAGAGGTAAAGCAAAAGCAGAACAACTCTGTGCAACCAGGTCTACTTATATGACTTTACTCCCGGCAAAGAATGCTTTTTAAGTCATCCCAAAGGTCTCACCATGGAATCTTTAATTAATGAATAATTTAAATAATTATGTACAGAATAAATTAGAGAATTTACCATTTTTGCTTTCAAAAGTTTCTGGGAATAATTTTGGCTTCTGGCTACTCCAGCGGGGAAATATCTAGCAGTCTGCACTGTTCCTCCTTCTTGGGCTTGGGGGTCATGATCCTTGACCTTCACCAGGGTCTCCTATTCAAAATCCTGGGCAAGAGTGAGCAGCGACCCACTGGCCTGTGGGCATATGAACCCTTCAGATGGATTGCACTCAACTCCAATTCCTCACATCTCTTTTTCTAGGGGAAGGATATCAATTCTAGCTGATCCTGAGGAACTTTCTCATCCTACTCACTTAGGGGATGACCTGGGCATGTATCTTTCTGTCTTCTCATCCGAACCTTAGGGCAATAACAAGGCCATATTCTCAGACAGACTGAAAAGTCAAAAACTTTTCTTTAGTTGTCAAAGTGGGATAATGCACAGGCCATTCCAAGGGAAGAATAAAACTTGCTCTTCTTTTAGGATAGATCAGTGATAAAATCTTCTTTTCCCTCTGCCCCTTGCATCAAGAGACCCACCAGAACAACAAGCGATCTGGAAGAGCTCTTCTTGCCAAACTGGCTATGATCCTTTCCTGATCAAGAATTGCTTTGAGCTCTGCCTGGGCTGGCAGGAATCCTGTGGTCATCATATGGAGAAATAGTAATTAGTGTATGAAAGATGATAAGTGTACCCAGAAGGGCCCCACAAGGTCAGATAAATGCATAGGTCCCAGTGAGACAACCCCGAAAAGGCCCTGGATGACTCACATTCTGAACCCAAGATCTTTTTTCTACTCCTAGTAATCTCATACATCTCTAGGGCCAGAGACTACAAAAGGCTTTGCTCCCTCTGTCAGAACTCCCACTTTCAAGACTGAAAAACAGAATTTGGAATGGCCCCCACGGGGCAGAGACTCGATCTGGTTTTTTGCTGCCCAAATCCATGCACCTTTGCCAATCCATTCCTTCCAAAGGCTTAGGTCTTCTTCCATGTGCAAAGAGTGTCAGACAGTTGTCTCCCTTGGCTAAAGTCGGTTCTTCACTGAGAGCGAATGATGCTGGCAGCCAAAGGAATGGGTGGAAATCGGTGCTCACTATTCACCCAGCGTTCTGTGGTTAGACCCTACAATCTTTACATTGCTAGGGCATTCACTCTCTCAAACCCTAGAGGTCCCAGAACACTGTGATTCATTCTGGAAATCAAACTCAAAGTGAGTTAATTAGAGCCACAGACCTGACTTGCTTACAACCACTAAAAGAGGTTTAACAAGATCAAAAATGCTCCACCCTGGCTAATAAACAATGTGCTCTTAGGGCACAGAGGAAAAATAGGGCTTTAGGCACTAAAAAGTGACACTTCACCCAGATCCAGCCTGGGAGAAGACCAGAGAGAAGGGGGTGGTGGGAAAGTAAGAAATTCCCAGCCCTTATTGGGTCCACACTCTACACAGGTTAGAGGAAGGTGCAGGGGGTGGGAGAATCGAGGAGAACACCCTTCCGAACACAAGTCCTCAGGAGCCTGCAGCTACAAGGCCCAAACCCACAAGTGCGCCTTCCTAGCTCTCCAGCAGCCTCTCCACCTGACGCCTGGGGTATGGTCCATGTAGAGGGGGTGGCCTCACATGGTATTTCACATTGGGCTCCTGCCCTTGATGCTTCCTTGTTCACAAGAGAACACCTGGGGAAGCACACGGTCGGGAAGAAAAGATTCTCTTTTATTTTGGAAACAAATCAAAAGAGGATTAGGGAATGAAGCACCTTAAGCAATGCCCCCTTGAGACTTCTTTTCAAGACCCCAGGGTCTTCACAGGCATAACTTTGGCTCAACAACATTTCCCTTCTCAGAGCCAAGAATGGCCAGCAAGGGAAAGGGTGGGGACTAGAGGGTGGGGGGAGGAGGATCAGGGGAGGTCGGTGCTGAGAGGTGGTCCCTGCCCTCCTCGGCCCCTCCACTGGCCAGCACAGGAGGCGGTGCCGCTCCTTCTCCCTGGTACATAGGCATTATCTCTTTTTAAAATCTGTATATAATATATATATATTTATATCTGTATATATATATATTTATATATATATATTTATATGGACTATGTACATGTATTGCACAGGCCTCTTGCAGCCACCCCTGTTCCTGCCTTGTCAGTGAAAGCGGTTCCTCTTCTCTTCACTTTCGGATGCGTAGTCTCGGGACCTGATGCCGTTCTGAAGATTGATGAGTGAGTCCTTCATCTGTAAGACAGGGAACCACCCCAGCCCTGGGTTTGTGTCCTCAGTGGGCTTCTCCAACCAGCAGCACCCGCCACGCCCATCTATGGCAGGTTCGCTACCATACCAGGGAGCTAAAGGGAGCTCGGCTCCTAAAACAAGGAACACAGTCTCAGGCAGAAAGGGGACAGCCAACCTAGCACCAGGAACCCCTAGGGTCAGGTTTGCTGGGACTCAATGACTTGTGGCCCTCGTATCACCGAATTAGGAATTCTTTCAAAGCATTCAATTGCTACCAGGAGTGCATTAGACTGCCACTTACTTGGTCTTCTACTCATTCAGTTTGGTTTCCCCACTGATTCTGAACAGGCTGTACTCCTGTCTTTGTACATTTTGCCACATTGTTCCTGCAGCCTGGGACTTTCTTGCCTATTCCAATTTCACTCATCTATTAAGACCCAGAACAAATCCAAATTTTCTCTGGCTCACAGTCATCTTTCTTTTTCCTGGCCTCTCATATACCACTCACTTGGGCTCTGGGCTGCAGTCAGCTTTAATCGCTTTGTTCCATGTGTGTTGGGACTGCACTCTGTCCTGTCTTTCCCTTATACATCCCGGTTGCCAAGCAGAGAACTGAGCAGGCTCCTAGTTTTACCCATATCACTGAATTAAACTTGTCCTTAACTGAATTTCTTAACCTCCTTTAAGAAACAGACACATTCACATCATTAGGTCATGGGATGGAGTCGATGGGGCAGTTCCAGCAGTAGAGTCCTAAACGGCCTGTCACACCACATTTACATACCGTCCCTAAGTCAGCTGCTCTGTTACAACACGTTACAGCTAACATTTCATGGGAAAATGGTTATGTATTTTGAGAACCTCTGGGCTCTCTGCCTAATCTACCACTTTCTTCCCTCTCGTACTTCTGTATCCTCTGTTCAACAGGGCTGAGGGGCCCAGCACTCTTAGTTTTTTAATTTTTTTTATAATTTTATTTATTTATTTTTGTCCCCCCAAAGCCCCAGCAGATAGTTGTATGTCACAGCTGCACATCCTTCTAGTTGCTGTATGTGGGACGCGGCCTCAGCATGGCCGGAGAAGCGGTGCGTCGGTGCTGGCCGGGATCTGAACCCGGGCTGCCAGCAGCGGAGCGCACGCACTTAACCGCTAAGCCACAGGGCTGGCCAGGACTCTTCTTTTAAAAGTTACTTTTAAAGGGAAAAAAATAAAACACCTATCTTAAGGCTTGTAGAGTCCACCGTGCTATAAATCGGACAGAGCCAAGCTCCAACTTAAGGGGACCCACACTAAAACAGAATTCCAAAGTTGGAAGAGAACTGAATCATCCAGTCCAACTGCACCCCCCCCATTTAATTCATAAGTTCCTCATCCAACATCATCTTGTCACCCCTTGAGCACTTTCAGTGATGGAATCTCAGTCCTTCAAATCTCAGTTCTCCATTCCATTGCTGGAGAGCTCAAAACAGCTACCATAAGTAGTCTGTTTTTATTTGATGACTCGAAACCCAATTCCCTATTATAGCTTCTAGCTCTAGTTCCATCCTCTGGAGTTCCACAAGCAGTCTAACTCTTCCGCTTGTTGGACCTCAATGTCCAAGACAATGCTGTTCTCCTCCCCAGTCTTCCCTTCTCCTGAGTATACCTTCCATTCTAGCAACCCTCCTTGATAGGACAGGCTTCCAAACTCCTCACTATGCCACTGACCCTCGCTTGGTAAAAAATGTCCTCCTTATACGTGGGTCCAAAGCTAAACTTGATACTCTAAACACATTAAACTTCTCTCTAATTTAGAGCTAAGACCAAAGTGTGAAGGGGAAATAAAATTTAATGTTAATGAGTGTCTCCCATGTGCCATCAAATCCTGATAGCCATTTCACGAAGCAACGATTATAATTCCCATTTTATAATGAAGAAACTGAAGCTCACTAACATTAAATCCCTTGCTCAAGGTCACAAAACTAGTTAGTGATAAGGTTAGGATTCCGTCTCGGGTCTGGCTGACCACAAAACATAAGAAACCCCTTAGGAACAGAAATTTTAATGTAACAGGACAAATGCTCAGTCTCCTACCTTCCTAATTCTCTTGCAGAGCAAAGGTCTTTTTTTGTGTGTGTGTGAGGAAGATCAGCCTGCGCTAACAGCTGCCAAACCTCTTCTTTTTTTTTTTTTTTCCGCTGAGGAAGACTGGCCCTGGGCTAACATCCATGCCCATCTTCCTCCACTTTATATGGGACGCCGCCACAGCGGAGCGCGTGCACTTAACCGCTTGCACCACCAGGCCGGCCCCAGGATCCTGCTGTCTTGCAAACCAAATGTGAGCTTTTCATAAGATGTTACATTCTTCTGGGGAAAGGAAGAAGCTCACTCCCCTGATAAAACTAAGCTGATTATTGATTTTGTCCCAGGATGCTTTTCTTAAATAGATGCATCTAGTTTTTAGAAGGAAAACAGGCAACTGTACTAGGAAGAAGATGTTATGAAGAGAAGACATAATACAGCCATCTTCCCAGACAGTGTGGCCTTTGAGAAAGAGCGATGTGCTGGCAGTTGTGTGTTTGTGGTCATGTTTTGAGGGCAGGGGAGGGGGTGGCATACATCAAAAGCAACTAGAAAGATACGCCCTCAGGGAAGACAAATCTCTATAAATAGGGGGTCTTTCTTTAAATCCCTGTCAGATGGCTATGGGTTACCAAGGGAAAAAAATTAGTCCTCCTTCTATCTAACCTACAGCTTTCCTGCTGCAAATCCAGTGTGTTGTTTCATTGTTATTATTTTGGGGAATACACTGGTGTTTCCAACAGCCCATTCAAGGATGGCTTTAAAATGAGAACAGTGAATGGCCTAGGAGAAGAATGAATGGGAGCATGAGGTCCAGTGGGTGGTGACGGAGATGGTGATCTTTCTCAGAGCATAGGGAAGGAGTTCCAACCCCAGGAGACTAGGGCAAGGAGAGAAGGTGGGGGCATCTCACCTGGTCGAGAAGCATCACCGAGGATTTGATGATCTCCCTCCATTTTTGGAGCTCAGTATCGTGGTACTTTTGTTGGGACTCTAAGAGCTGGGCCCATTCTGTCTGAGATTGGGGTAACCTGTGGGGTAGAAGAAGGGGTACCCCAGCAGCTGGAGTTATGCTCAGTGGACTGTCCTGTGCTCCCAGACCCCTAAAGGACAGAGAGTTACATCAGAGTGCTTTGCCCTCTGCTCACTTGTTTCCCCTATGCCCTGAATCAGAAGCAGACTGAAAGCATAGGGGCAGTTTTCAGAGCCTGCCTATGGACTCATCCCAAAGGGTGATCCCCTAGCCAAGGGCAGAGGGGCAGTCCCAAGGAGACTGGGAGGCAGGAGGAAGGGCATGGTACTGGATGGCGTGGAGGTGGTGGCAAGGGGAAGAGGCCAGGATTACCTTTCTTGGAGCCTCAGACCCTGCCAGGCAGTGAGGGTCTGGGTGGTGTATTCTAACATCCAGAGTTTATAGAAGAGCATCATGTTAAGGATGACCAGCAGCACCAGACTAGGAAGGAGACAAGGGGAAAACAGCAATAGCAATGAGATATAATCTCAGAATGCATGCTCCCTCTGAGAGCCAGGGACACCCCCCACCCTAGAGGCTGCTATCCTTGACCACTGGGTGACCTGCAGCACTGCAGTGAGTGAATAAGACAGCCGGAGGGATGCAGCAAGGGGGAGAGACAGAGAGAGAGAGAGAGAGAGCAGCACTCTAATCTGGAGGGGCCAGGACACCGCGGGAGAGCCATGGCAAGGTGTGTAGGGTGAAGGCAATAGACAGGAGAGACACACGCCAGTCACCCAGAATCTGGCTGCATGAGGGAACAGAGGGAAGATGGAGAGGAAAAGAGATGAAGGGGTAAAGGAGGCGATCACAGAGCTAGTACCTGAAACAGATCCTAACGGGAGCAAGGAAGAAAAATGGGGAGGAGGCAGAGGTTAACAACAGTCTAGCGTGGGGAAGGGGAAAGCTGCACTTCATCGAGTAGAGAGAGTGCGAGTCCACGAGAAAGAAACACCAGGACCAAAAACACAGCGACAAGGAGAGCTAGTAAGCAAGGAGCAGGAGAAAGCTGCTGTAAACAGACTCTTGGTATTTCAGGCTGATAAATCAAGATAAGAGTCCTCCTACCAACCCAACTTTAGGACACAACTGAAGGGTGAAACTGTGGGGGGAATTCCAGTGAACTCCAGCCCTGCCCGACAGGCCTCACAGCTGTGACCAGGAGTGCCCTGAAGCCATAGTCTCCCCACGCCCAGCCACAGTCCCGCATGGCTCCCAAGGTTCCCAGAGTCTGGGCCAGAACTGGTGAGAGAGGGACATGGTAAGGATGATCCAGGGGCAGAGGAGTCGGGGGGAAGGAGAGTCACTGGAGATGGGAAATTCTCTTCTGCTCTCAGCCTCAGTGGCTGCCATACAACAGAAGTTCATGGGATGGAGAGATGAAGACGTGGGTAAAGAGAGGATCCAGAGACACGCAGAATTGGATACAAATCCTGGCTCACCACCTTAACTTTTCACCAAGTTTCCTAGCTTGTCTGAAACCCAGCGTCCTCAGCAGGACAATAACACCTTGTTAGGTGGATTAAAGGAATGTGTGTATAGCACTCTGCACACAGGAGGCCCTCCACAACGGGCGGTATTCATTAAAGGACTAGGTGCAGACACACATAGGAAAAAGGAAGACAACATAAATGGGAAGATAAAACACAGATAGGTGGAAAAAAAGACCAAGAAAGAATGAAAATCTTATACTATGCCTTCAACCTTTCAAAGTGCGTGAGTGTGTGTGTGCGTGTGTGTGCGCGCGCGCACGCGCGCATGACACTGTATTTCTCACTTGTACCTCCTGCACTATGGAAGGTAGTACTCCTTAAACTGGCAGCTGCAAATTCCAGGGGCTACTCAGCTGTGTTCTCAGGGCTGAGTTCTCTGCAACAATCTCTAAACATTGCGTTGAATTTCAGCAATACTGTCTCTAACTGTATCAGTACACACGGGGTCATCTGAATGCCCACATCTTCAGCATGTGCCACACACAATCTGAGCACCTGCATTTGGGTTGTGTTTACAATCCTGTCTGTGCTCAGAGAAGGTCAAAGGACACCCCTGCACGCTGTCTGAGGGAAGGCTCCTTGGTGATCTAAACAGAGAAAAGAGGTGGGAGGGCGCTGTCACCACGGGCAGGCTTATGGTGGCTTGGGCCTGCCAGACACCGGGCAGCCTGTGCTGCACCAGTCCATCCCACATGCACGCTGTCAGCACACCCCCCACCTGGACCCTCTAGTGTTGAATGCTGAGGCCTGATTATCCTAGACAAACAAAGCCCACAAGTTAGCTAATACCACACTATGCAGTCTACTCAGGTGAGCAGGCCTTCTCTACTTAAAGTAAAAAAGGCAGAAAGAGCTTAAACCTGGAACTAACCTGAGTTTAGTTTTTTATCTACCAAACCCAACATCAGAGATTTAACAGAACAATAGCATGAATCACATTAAACTGATGATGCTAAATTTGAATTTTACTGGTTTTCCAGTTGTCTTTGTATTTTTGTAAAAGTATCTTGGCTTCTTATGCCACAGTATGAAAAATGTTACATCTACTTTTATGTTACATATCCAAGTAAGGATAACAAGCGCCTTCCTCACAGGCCCCTCTCCTTCACATGGCCCCAGGTTTGTCCTCAGCCCCATCTTCTTCCTCACACACTACACTCTCCTCTGATGATCTCTTTCAAACTCCGGCTTCAATGCTACTGATAATTAAATCAGCAACTACAGCCTAAACTTCTCTCCGAAGCTCTCCCTGTCAGCTCCACCTGGATAACCTACGGCAACTCAGACATCTCTGGAACCGACAGCATTTTCTCTGGCAACTTTTTGCTAAGTTCCAGATTTCTGTTAACGACACAGCCATCTGTGACACTTGAATCAGGAAGTCATCTTCCTTTGCTACATAACTGGATGTACGAGTCTTCACCTTTTAGGATCTCTCAGCTCCAGTCCCTCATCTCAGCCTGACAGCCTTTAGCCTCCATCACTGCGGTTTACTCCCACTGGCCTCCCTGCCTCCAGGCCCTTCTTCTCTGGTTCATTCGCCCTATTGCCATCAGAGTGATTTTTTTCTTTTAAATGCAAATCCAACCATGTCACTCCAGGGCTTCCCTCAGTGTTTCCTGAGGGTGTTCTGCCTCTCTTAAAGTGCTTTAGTGGAAACCTGACGGCCAGGAGGGTGGGGAGGGGGTGTTGCAGAGGTAAAACCAAACTAGAGCCAGTCTAGTGCCTGGTGCACAGCTGGTGGAGCCAGCGTCTGGGCAGCTCCCATGCCCCTACCCATCTGTGCCCCGACATTCTCACAGCACACCCCATCCAGGAAGGGCTGGGGTGTCAGGCAGTGGCTGAACCAAGCAGAAGAGGTGCCTGCACCTCACTGTGCTGGCTGCTCCCTGCTCAAACTGGTTACAGAAGTCCTGAGCAGGTTATGGGCTTACCTTCAGATAGCTGTGTTCTCCCACCTTACACCTTCATTTCTTTCAGCTTCCTTTCTCTCTAGCCCAGCATCTTTCTGTGTAAGTTATCGAGCCTACTGTTTTCTAACATTATGGCACTTACTATAAATTGTTTACATCAAAATAAGCATATACTTTTCCTGGACCGTAGTCATTGATTTTCTCTGGCTACCCTGCCAGCGTGGGCCCCATGAGTGCATGGTCCTAATGCCTGGCATGGAGCAGACACTCAGAACATCTCTCACAAATAAATGAACGGGCTCATAAAACACTCTGTAGTAGCTCCACATTAGCGTTTATCCAATGATGTAGTAATTTTGAATTTCCTGTCTGTCTTACCCACTTGAAACTGAGTTCCTGAAGGGTATGGATGCTGCATGCAGCATTTTCCTCTGAATCCTGAAGGCCTAGCATACAGTAAATGCTGAATAAAACAGAGAAAAAAAAGCAAAGAGGCAAGGAATGACAGACAGAGCAACTGATCTGGAGACAGAAGACTAGAGGACAGAGAAAAAGAAAAACATAGCAACAGTAAGGGTGCTCATAGGCCTAAAGAGACAAGGGAGGAGGCAGCAAGGAGGAAAGGGAGGTGGTGGGGGCAGGGTGGAGGAGAGCCTGGAATCCCTTACACACAGCTGATAACCAGCAGCAGCTTGGACACGCTTTGCAGGTGGAAACCATTGGGAGCGTCCTCGGGGATGTGCCGTGTCTGCGTGGAGCCTGTGGGGAGAATAAAGAGACCACCATCATTGTGGCCCACAAGTCCACCGACTGCTGCCGTGACACTGGTCATGCACACAACTTCAGGGGATGACGGAGAACTCTCCATGATGCTGTCACGGCAATGACATGATGGATATACCCCACCCTCCAGAAGTGGAAGGTAAGCTCCTCAAGGGCAGGGTCGTGGGTTGGTCAGGCGAGGTGGACACTGAAGTCACTGAACAAATGAGAAAATCAGCAGACCTATGTAGCTAGGACATACAGATGCAGGACAAAGTCACCTGCACCTGTGGAAGGGCCGCAGTACAAGGCTAGGACTAGAGGGAGTCAGCTTTCAGCTCTGGCTTTATCCATAACTGGCTATGTCATGTTGGCAAGTCCTGTAACCTCTCTGTGAGTCAGTTTATTCAAATGCAATGTTGGTCAGAAATCCTATACGTAAAACACATAACATGGGAGCGCTCTGGTTGAGGCTGGGTGGAGGGACACGGAAGGCTACTACTCTCCTGCTCTTCTTCTGTCCCTATCCAGCTCTGATGAACGCCCAGGGATGTGCTGAGCAGTCTGAAGAACACTGGGTTAGCTGCTCTCTAAGGCCTCTTACAGCCGTAAGTTTCCATGACTGAGCAAAGACACGGGGCTGTGAGTGGCTGGACAGGAAGAGAGCGACAGATCAAGGGAGTCCACTGCCTGGTAGGGCAGGTCCTTGGTGGGGCCAGGTGAGGGGGGCTGCCTTGGACTCCCTGATCTTTGTGTTATGAAGTAATCTCACGATCTGAGCCTCAGCTTCTCCCTGGTGCGTTTCCCAAGAATGTGGAAGCTGCATACTTGAGCCTATCCAGGCAGCCACGGAGCTCAGGCAATGTGGAGGCAACAAACTCAGCAGAGCACAGAGATGGGTTCAGCAGGGGCTGAGGAACTTAAAGGGCAAAGAGAAACAGGTAGAGCATCCAGAGCCTCAGATGTAATGAATCATGTGCAAACTATATACAATCTATACCGAAGGGGCAAAATGAGTGTGCATGTACGCGCCCTGGCCCAGGCACGCGGCTCCAGCCCAAAGCCCTAAGACACACAACCTGTCCCCACCTGGCACACCTGCCACATGCTTGATCCTGTGGCCCACGTCTTCATCAGTGGGTGTGGTGACAGGGCTCATCACCTCTTCCAGGTGAGGCACCCGCAGGTGGGCATGGGGACGCTTCCTCCTCCGCACCGTTGTGGGCTTGCTGACCTTCTCTTTGGGAGACTGCCTGTGCATCTCAGCCAGGTAGGTGCTCTCCGTTTTGGTCAGCTCACTCTCTGCCAGAGAAAAAAGGCCACATCAGAGGCCACCTGCCCATACCTCCAACACAACTCAACACGGTGGCCTCTAGAAGCAACTCTGTCTACTCCTAGCTGAGCCCTCTCTACGAGAACCATTTTCCATACTGTATTCTGGGAAGTCGGCTGGGAGGGTGGGGATCCCTTAGGGATGCCTGTGAACCTCAGGAGGTACTGCTGAGGCCCAGCCCAGACCAAAGCCCTCTTCTGGGTTGTTCAACAGTGTGTGGAGACAGAGGTTCCCAACATCTGCAACCTTGTGTATACAATCTGGGGCCCATCACATTTCCTAATAGATGCATTCACAGGCTATTTCCTTTCTATAACAGAATTGCCACCAGTGTGACTAGATCTGAGGTTCATTTTTTTTTGTTGCAGGGGTGATCATGGATCTCTTAATAATCTCATAAAAGTTACAGGCACAGTCTCTTGAAAAATGCACGTGTTCACATACGTGCCGAATTTTGTATCCATTTTTGGGCAGACTTAGGGACCCCACGATACTCCTTCACTCCCTCAGTCTCTCTCCCCATTCTCCGTGGTTCCCATTTCCCTGAATGGCGGCAGCTGAACAGTTCACCCGCTTCTGCAGTCCAACCAGCAGCCGTGATTGTAGTGCTCACCTAAATGGCGGAAGTAGTCCTCCAGCCCACTCCAGAAGTTCTTCTCGATGAAAGTTTTCACTAATCCCCAGGGCTGTTTTCGGTAGCGCAGCTCTGTGGAGACCCTGAGGTATAAGCCGGAAACAAGATCAGCCATTTCCTGGGTGGAACTTCCACGGCCAGGAAAAGGAAAACTCAGGTTTAAGTCAAAAGCAGCTTCACATCTGTGCTGCATGTTATATATATAAGTTAAAAAGTCCTTTCACCTCCATCATGTCATCTGATCTCCCTGGCCATCCCTTGAGGTCAGTAGGGTGACTGGATTTATCCCCATTTTACAGATGATAAAACTGAGTTTTAGAATATTTAAGCAGACCAAAGGCTAACAACAAGGGCTTCTGACTCTAAGCCCATAGTTCTTTCATGACACCACACTGTCTCCCCCCAGGAGAGATCCAGAGGGTGCCAAGCAGCCTGCAGCGAGCCATGGGGTCCTCCTCTCCTTCTCCTGAGACTAAGTCCCAGTCAGGCTCCAGGGTTTCATCACTTCCACCTTTAAGGGCGTCATCTGCTAGTGGCCCTGGCTCCTGCCTCTCCACTACACCCAGGACCTCGCCAGCTCTTGCATTTTTCTACATATTCTCTCACACAGTCATGAGTCTCTCTACTGCCCATATCTCTGACAGTATCGGCTCCTTCCTCTCGTACACAGCAGCCCTGCTCTTTGCCTCTCCTTAGGTTCCGTACACAGCAGCCCTGCTCTTTGCCTCTCCTTAGGTTCCTTTTCATCTGTCAATAGATTCTCCGGTTCATGCTCCTCATCTTTAAGCCATCTGCCCTGCCCTTATACCCCTCCTCAGGGACACCACCTCCACCTATGGCCTAATGTGAGCATGCCTATACCTGGAGCCACCTCACTCCCCCACAAAGGCTGTTTACCAGACTGAGGGTCAGCACCTCTCTGTAAAGGTCTACCTGTGGTCAACCAGCTACCTCTGCAGGAGCTGGACAGAAAAAGACATCCAATCAGAAGACACTCCAAGGAAGATGGAACTGAGAAACCTACACACTGCGGGGTAAGGACAGGAGAGACAGGAGGGAGGGAAATAAAGGAAGGAGGGAGAAAGAGAAGGGAGGGAGAGGGAGGAGTAGAGGCTGAGAGAGCAGCACAGAAACCAAAAAAAAGTTTTTGTTAAGAGGAAGAGAGGGGCTGGCCCCATGGCCTAGCAGTTAAGTACACACACTCCGCTGCTGGTGGCCTGGGTTCGGATCCCAGGCGTGCACCGACGCGCTGCTTCTCTGGCCATGCTGAGGCCGCGTCCCACATACAGCAACTAGAAGGATGTGCAGCTATGACGTACAGCTATCTACTGGGGCTTTGGGGGGAAAAAATAAATAAATAAAATCTTTAAAAAAAAAAAAAAAAAATGACAGTGCTTGTGAACCGAAAATTCAAACCTGCCAGTGGAGACTCAAACACGTTATCATTTTACCATTACTGATGGCTAATAAAGGCAGAAGATCTCAGCTCAAATAAGTTACCAGGATTTATACCAGGGCTATATAGACTTTCAGGTTAAAAGAAACTCTAAATAATGAATCTTTTCAATTTTCTTTAGATAGTAATAAGTTTGGGCTCAAGTCAAGGTAGATACACACATATTTAAATACATAAATGTTACATATAATTATAATGTTATATAATTATAATTTTATAATTTTTTTCTCTGTTTCTTTCTCTGGCTTGGAGGCTGTTTCTCAACACCCCACAGCATCTGAGTGGGAGTTCTCTAAGGGCCACAACCACAACATCTCCTTCATCTGCGTCTCTTCACAATGTCCTTCAAACACTCGAGCAGTCAATGGGTGGCTATATTAACTCTATTTTCCCGTTTTCTGTATTTTTGAGGCTCTGGCATCTGAGGCCTTGCTGACTGGGGAGCGACTGCCCCCTCCCAGGGTTAGCTAATTCCTAGAGATAGAAAACAACTTGCCTAGGGTGGAGGTGGGGGTCCTTTCATAACCAGCCAATCCAAAGCCCAGATCCCCAACGAGCTTCTTTATCTAGCTCTTACAATCCAGGCCAATATTCCTCTGCCCTAATTACCCCAGGGACAGGCAGCATGCAATTAGAGACAGTCTCTATACCCCGAAGCCTGATGAAATTATTCAAACTGGCCAATCCTAAACCTGATCAGCCTGCTTACCCTGCCTCATCCATTCCTTCCATGAAATCCACAATAAAGACTCTTGCCCATGCTTTCCCCTTGCTTTCTCTGCCTCCCGACAGACCCCGGGGCTTCCCTGTGCGGCCCTGTGTGGCAGGATGTGCCTCTGCTTCTAGGGATCTGTAAGTGCAAAAACTTCTACCTTCATGATAGTCATTCCATGTCTGTGCGTCTTACCTGATTGAAACAAATCCTGGTACATTTTAAAACAGTGGTACTGAAGTGTCTGAAGTCAATGAGGGCCTCACTCCAGGCAGCAACGAGGCTGCTCACATAAGAGGCAATATGCTACTTTCAGGACTCAGGTCAACACCACCAGTGGGAGAACACGTTACTCACCACAAGTCTGGGGGACTTCCAGAACCATGAGGAAACACTGGAGCTGGCCAACGCCACAGTAAGAGCAATCTCTCCACAGGACCCACATCCAAGGGGAAAGAACATTCTAGGTGGATATGCATCTTGAGGCTGAGGGAAGTAGCTAGGCAGTACTTACCTTTTCAAGGAGAGCATTCTGCCAGAGCCGGAACATCATCATGTATGTCCTATCCCGGGCTCCAAATGAAGTGAAAAAGTGCTAAATTGGAAGAGAAAATGGCAAGAAATGCCTATTAGGACTCACAATATAACGAATGGAGACATGGTGCTCCTTCCTTCAAAAAAAAAGCTACTGATTACATCCTTAAACACCACTGACTCTCAGTTATCCGTGATCACAGCACAGGTACTCTAGTGATGGTGATCAGCACACCAGGGGCCTAGGTACTTGGGACCTCTAAGTCCCCACTGCAACCAAGTCCATCAATATTCACCAACACTTTCCTCAGTGCTTCTCTGTCTGGTTTGAAGCTTTCATAAAAACTTCCTTCACCTACCTACTGGAACTGGGTAAATGGTGAGCTGTGACCCAGCCTAAAGGGAAGAAGACAAATCCACCAACACACTCACCTTTTCAATCATTAAGTCAACAAATATCTGAATATTGAGGCTAGGCACTATTCTACACATTTTGGGTACAATAGCAAACGACAGAAAGAGACCCCTGCTCTTACGGTGCTTACATATTAATGGGGACCCTTTATAAAGGGTGGGAAGAAAGTGACGGGAAAACCAGATTTTACTGAACATGCTGTAGGTGCTTCACAAATGCTGTTCATTTAAACCACATAAAAGCCTTGGAAAATAAACATAACTGCTAACACCTAATCAAGAGAACAGGCTGGTAACCTTAGGTGACTTCTGTAATCACAAAGCTGACTCATGCCAGAAACAGAATTCAAACCAAAGATTATCTGACCCTAAAGTCTCATGGTTCTTGCCACTGAACTGCCTGGGTCCAAGGTCACAGTGGACCTTGTGTTCAGCAGAAACCTAGGCCACCCCTAGCCCTGAAGCTATCAGTCTTCAGGCTCTAGTTAAAGGTCAAAGATCACAGTGTTTTCTCTGCCCTAAATTTTATCTACCACATTTTCCACATACCAATATGGACAACCCATTTCCTATCAGACTCCTTATCCCTCTTGGTGAGCTAAGCTAACACACAATGAAAACAACTTACATTTGTATAGTGCTTTACAATTTAGCATTTTTAAATGTCTGATGTCATTTCAAGACTCTGTTAAATAGGTATTGCTGGCTCCGTTTTACACATGAGAAAATTGAGACTCAGAGAGGTTACGTAACATGCCTACCATCACGGGACTCAAATTCAGGTGTCCTGGCTCCAAGTCCAATGTTCTGCCATTCCACCCTCCCCCCGCTCAGACTCCAAACACCCTGCCCACCATGGAGGTGGCTCCTGCAATCTGCATCACCTCACTGCCTCTCCCTCCAATCCTACTGGCCTCCATACTGATGCAATGATTAGACTCTACTTACCTTTTCCGAGTCAGTGCAAACTTGGATGGCATTGGGAATGAGGCGAGCTGTTTTTTCTTTAGTCATGGAGCAGATGTCTTTCAAACGAACAGTCAGCTGGCATGGCCACAGGGACAGAGAATGGACAACAAGCAAGAAGAGGCATTAACAGAGTCAGACAAAGAGTGTTCACATGGCACCAGTGCAGACAGAGGAAATCAGATCACAGTCTGTGTATTTCTAAACACATAGAGGACCTCCTGGTGTCCTGGTAGGGACCTCCTTAGAGACCATCTGGGTTAGCCCCCTATTTTACAGAGGCCACACAGCAAAGTGGTGACTGAGCCACGCCTAGAGCCCAGGGGTGTCTTGATTCTTGTTTGGAAAAGCATTCTTCCTCATTTCTACACAGTTTGATAAATGTGCAGAGGTTCCCCACTATTTGCCACTTACAGAAACACTGGCACTGGATGGGACCACAGAAGTTATCTAGTTTATCTTTTCCACTTTATTTTGTAAGATGAGGAAACAGAGGCAAACAAAGAGGCAAACATAGCTAATCAGCTGCAGAACCCAGAAAGTATACAAGCCAGCTCTGAGTCCCAAGGCCAATGCCCTTTTTACTCTACTATTCTTCCTTCTGCGGTGACTCCTGCCAAACATTTACCTGCATTTGCCAAAAGCAAATGCTCTCAATGCTCTCTTATAAACCCAAGAGGGAGGGAGGCGAAGACATAGTAGAGGAGGTCTATGCTTCAAGACTCAGACACGCGCTTCTGTTAATTATACAAAAGCTTGGGTAGAGCATGAAGTCAACAAAAGGAAGAAAGTCAGAGCAGCTTGCTCAGCCATAGCCAAGGGGACAGCCCAAGGGAGCGAACCCCAGGTCTTTACCAGAGTTTCCCAGCGGAAGATGTTGCTGTAGAAGCAGATCCAATTTTCCGAGAGGTAGAGTCGGCCCTGAAGAAGAATGTCTCTTTGGAGTGCACATGAGTAATCTGTGGTAGGATGGGGGATAGAGGAGCTCAGAGACAGGAAGCATTTTCAGCAAAACACCACAAATCAAGCATGCCACCCCTCTCACCAGCCTGGGAGAGCCCAACTGCCTACTACTGACTAGCTGTGTGAGACACTTGAAGTATTGGCAAGGGAATCCCTAGCATCTCATGATCAGGAACATGAAGGATGTGAAATACACTACTGCTGAGAGACCAAGGAATGGATGAGATAACAGAAGGAGGAAAAAGTGAGAGGCAGAAAAGGCCAACAAAATTCAACTAACACCCCTCCCCCATTTGCAATTACCCCAACCCCTTCACTGCTGGACCATCTGCAGAGATAAGAGTGGCAGTCACTCCTTCCAGGTTGGGCTCTCTCTCTCTCGAGGTGGGGGCGTGGGGGTCAGTGCCCTGGACATCCTCTCTCCCTGTTCCAGACAGACGTTCTCACTTGGGTTGGCTCTTACTTGGGGAACCTCTAGACAGAAGCAGGCTGAGCGCAGTCCCCTGGACTCCCTGACTTCCTCTCTGTCCCCACACCCAGGTCACCCAGCTCACCAACAATGAGGCGCTCCGTGTCTGGAAGCTGCTTAAAGAGCTTTCTGAAGTCTTCATTTCTCTGCTTGTAAGTGGGGCTTAACACCTGCATGACAATGGCCAAGGTTAGTAGGATGTTCCCAGGTTCTGTGGTGCAGGGTGCAGGAGGAGCACCTGCTTGTGTGTTTAAAAGGCAAAGATGAGGCTCTGATATCCCATAGACCCTAGGAGGCCAAGTTAGGCAAAGGGGGCTTGGTACGGAAAAACATGATGGAGAGAATTTGATACTGCAAAAGGCTTTGAACCCAGTGTCCATCAATGGGAAAAGGTCAAACATACTAAGCAGGGCCCACATTACATCCCAAGATGAGAGAGGGAGCTTCCTGGAACCCACCATGTCAGCTATTGCTGTTCTGCCTTCTGGCTATTGCTGTCAAGGCAGCACCACCTTGACAGTGAAGCAGGGGTCTGAGGGGGCTCTCCAAGCCCCCCAGCAGGACCCAGCTATGATGGTGCCCAGCGCACCCCTTAGAAAAAGTTATCATGACTAACAGAGAGAGGACTTGGTTGTATGTGAAATTCATGATGAAAATCATAAAACATAAGACTAGTACAATGTTATACGTCAATTGTATCTCAATAAAACTAGTGGGAAATCACACTTTTACAAAGACTGGGTTTAAAGAAAAACTTATAAAACTAGTACTAGAATAAGCCCAGAAGTAGAGAATTTAGAAGCACAGCTGGCAACTATAGGCATACAACCTTCATTCCCACACCTTTACAAGATTATCTAATCCAACCCTTCATTACTGATGAGAATGCTAAAGCCAGAGAGCAGTCCCCTGCCCAAGGTCCCCCAGTCCACCAGTGGCAGACCTCTCAATCCCTGGTCCTGTGCTCACCTCCCACTACCACCTTTGCGTCCAGATGCCCCTGAGCCCACCTAGCTTTTTGAGTGCCTCAGTGAGGACTCATACTCATCAACCGCCTTAGCAAATCCTCCCTGGAAATTCCATGAGCCAAGAATCCTGCTCCTTCTGAGCTTACAATCTTAAAATTAAAAAAAAAAGAAGTGTGTCCCATAGACAAAAGGCACCCAAAGATGATACATGAAGTGCACAACTCACGAAGAGCCGTGCATCGCGACAGAGAGACATCTGCCCTCCACCCAGGCGCTTTGTTGATCATCAGACAGTCCTGGTGATGGTGACAGATGGGTCTTGGCCATTTACACTTTCTCACCTACTTCCCTAGGAATGCATTGGCATACAGCTGTGGTGACGATGGAATGAATAAGCTTGGGACTGTTCAGTTTTTGGCTTTCTGCAAAGCTAAATGGCCCACAAGGAGGCCGAGGCTGTGGCCTGAACACATTCATAGCACACACTGACTACCTGAGCTAGGAGGCCCAATGACTTTTGTGCTAGAAGGAGTAAGAGTATTTCAGAAAGTTGGGGGCAGAGAAAATGGCATGATTTAGTTTAAGGAGGTTTTCCAGAAGAGAGAGAGAGAAGAAAGTGCTTTCAACTTTGTCTATAGTTCATTTGAATTTTAAACTTTTCTTTTGGCTTCTTCATAAAACAAGTTGTAACAGTGCATGCCCCGCTACCTTCCCCAAAGCAATCTATGTTGTAGAGTCCCAAACTTCAGGAATCACCTGAACCAAGTATCAGGGCTACTGGGAGTGAATATCTGGAAGCCAGCCCATCCCGTGACTCCTATGGCTAGAAAACCCCTCAGAACACAACGTTCCTCTGGCCCATGTTAGTATCACACTGAACTGAGACGTCCAACCTCAACAGCTGCCTGGCCTCACAGAACAGAGTCCACACAGTGAAAACCCTTGCTGGACCACCTGACCGTCGGCAAGTTCCTCATTATGTCCAATGGACCTTCTAGAGCTACAATGAAGCTCAGGTGCAAAGAGTTACCACCATGTACCAAGCACCGTGGTAAGCCCTTCACGTACATCATTTCATTTGAGCACAGGGTTGTCTCCCTCATCTCATTTGCACACAGGAGTTGAGGCACAGCGAGGTTCAGCAGCTTGCCCAAGGTATGTGGTTACCAAGAGCAAGCGTGGGCTGTGAACCCAGGCAGTCTGGCCCAGGGTTCCTGGTCTGAGTCGTCACTCTCTGCTGCCTGAGGGTCCTTGCCCCAGCAGAGCACACTCTCTTGGGGAGGAGATGTTCACCTACTTTGAGGCCCCCCACTAGCATTCCATGCCCACAAATGGAGCCTTTTTGGGGGGATATTGAGTTTTGCAAGATGAAAAAGTTCTGGAAATTGGTTGCACAGCAATATGAATGAACACTACTGAACCATATACTCAGAAATACTTAAGACAGTAAATTGTATGTTATGTGTATTTTACCACAGTTAAATTTTTTTAAAAACTGTATCAGTCAAGTGGGTCTTTGTATTTACAAAGTTCCAATATCAGCCTGCGGACCAGCCTACTAGGTGGCCCCAAACCCCCTTCAGATGAAACTGGACATCAAGCACCCAATTACCTGCAGCCTGCAATTCCCACAATTTCTAATGTTCTTTCCCTATTGCTCTCTCACCCTTACTTCTCTCACATCCAACGGGAACTCAGACATCTACAAAGGTGGAGGTGCAGGGAGTCCGGCCTTAATCTCCAAACTGGAGGCCAAGGGAGGGAGCTGCTCTGCTGCTTTCCTTGGAACAAAGCTGTAGCTGTGGGGAGAGGGAGGGCAAATCCAGCCCTCACCTCTGAAGTCAGCCAGTTCTACAAGGACTGGCTTGGGTGCAGGGACTCATTAACCCAGGCTTGCAAACAAATGCCCTGATTCTACCAGGCTGCCAATGTGGACGGCAGGCCAGCCTTTGCCTCCTAGAGTTTAAAGCACAGAGCTACATGAGATTGGCCTGCCACCATATATCCTCCTGCCACCAGAGACCATGACCCTCTCACTCCCACCCCCATGCCCTTAAAGCAGTCTCCTCCAAAGGTGAGGCATGGCTCACCTATCTTAATGTTAAATGGCCAAAGAATTTTGGTTCAAGGACTGTCAAATCTGGGGCCCTCAGGTGGCAGGGCCAAGTGGGGGCTGACAAGAGTGCAGCAGAACTGTCACACAGGCACAGAGAAATTAGGTTGCACACTCACAGCTGGGATTTCCTCAGATCCATGCCAGCAACAGAGTTCCTCACCAGCAGGTATATCCGTGAACCTCTTCAGGTACCACTGCAAAGGCTGGCTGTCCTGCTCCAGCAGGAGGCTCCAGAGGACCCCAGATTCCGTCAGAGATTCCATTGCTCCTACAGCTCCACCTCCCAAAGGAGCCCCACTCCTTGAGCTTTGATTCCCTACCGTCCCCACAGGATAAACAGTCTCGCCCAGGCTGAACGCAGAAGGGTGACCTCTGGCTTCTTGGCAGAGGATCTATGTGACCCTGAGTGCCCTCCTTTTCTCTCCTAGAGCTCTGTTCCAGAGTGAAATTTCACAAACGGGAGGATGTGGTCAGCATGGTTCTTGGGACAGGCTGGCCGGCCAGTCTCCCATGGCCAGGTTGTGCTTCATCCCACTCGGCTTCCACAGTGTGGCTGGTCTTCAGGCTGAGGCTGACCCAGGGAGGGTGTGGTGAAGCCCCTCCTCCCGGTCAGTGTGAATAGCCACTCCAAGAAGCCAGCTGAGGCCAGAAGACGCAGACAACACAGCAGGTGCAAAGGGAAACTGCGCAGGAAGAGGATGACCCCACAGCCAGGTCGAGGTCCACCCCACCAGTTACTCACACACAGCAGAGTGGCTCATAGTTGGTCTGAAATGTACAATCTCTCCTCTGGGCGGGCGCTGGTTGCTATGACTCATGGCCCTCTCCCAGGCAGAGCGGCCACCACTGGCTGTGGCAACAGGGCCTGCTCTCACTCCCACCCTACACACACCCCTTCCTCCCAGACCATGCTCCTCTTGGCTGACCAGCAAATAACTTCTTTGTTAGATTCTCCCAGGGTGGGAGGGAAGGAGGGAGGGGGGGTGGGCAGGGCCAGAGCCCTACACATGCTTCAAGTTACAGGATCTGGGTGATGGTGCTGGCCAACGTCCTCCAGTAACCCCCAGCCTAGCCTGGCCTCCCCAGCAGATGTTTCCTGCAATGGAAAGTAGCTGGCCAGGGCTCCAAAGGGGGGAGGGGGAGGGGGAGGGGGAGGTGCCAGAGGCACCACTGTTACGATGAAATCCGAAATTTGACTCAAACAGCCAGGGACTTCTTGAAGACACACTCTCCCCTCACTGACCCATCCGTCCACCAACTGCCCTATAGCAGCAGCAGCAGCAGCAGATTTGGAAGTTGAACACATCTCATTTCAGACGTGCTCGTGGGGAGAAGTTGGGCAGATGGCCTGGAGAAGTTGAGGTCAGCTCCGGGGTCTGTCTGGGGCATCTCCTTCCCTTCCAGGGATCCTGCCCTGCCTCTTGCCCTAGCATGAGGGGGATCAAAGCAAGAAGATTCCCAGGCAGCTGCTCAGACCTTGAGGGCCAAGTTATCAATGCTAAGAGCAGAGAATTTGGCCCCAGGTCAAAAGTTGACAGCCAAATGCAGGGAAATGGGATCTCCAGGAGAGGAACGGGAGCCAGGCCAAGAGGGACAAGAAGGGCTCCAGGTAGAGAAGCAGGAGAGGGATTAGACAGCACTGGGGCTGGGAAGACCTGGACTCCCAGGAAAGTGAGACCTTTGAAACAAATGGGGCACCCCCCTCACCCTCCCCAGCTGTGCCCACCTTGCCAGGAGGAGCTCAAGCCTGCGCATAATGACAAGTGGTGCCTTTGTCCTAGGAGTCTTAGCGATTTGATGCAGCAACAAACTTTAGCATACTTAAAAATGACCTAATGAATGCAGTAAAAATGTAGATTTTTGACTCCCAAACCCAAGGATTCTGATTCAGAGGAACCTAGGGTCTCCCGGTTAAACACTGTTGGAGAAAGCAGAGGAAGAGTCTGAATCCTTCCCCAAACTCCTGTGTCCCCCTCTCGATGTACACACCCTGGACTCAGCCACCACCCCCATCCATCATGTCATGCAGGGTCATGACTCCCTCAGACCACCATCTTTTCCAGGAAGGATCTACGCCTCAAATACC